AACCTAGGAGTCGGAGGTTGCAGAAAGCCAAGATTGTGCCATTGCACTCCAGCCTGGGCAACAAGAGTGAAACTCCATCTCAAAAATAACAAAATATTTTGGATATCTCTTTGCCATCATGACAACACAACACGATCAATTCTTATTGTAATTTTACTGGTTTAAGACTTATCATCCTATCTAGAAGGCAGTAACTGGGACTGAGTACAGTGGCTCATGACTATAGTACCAGCACTTTGGGAGGCCGAGGCAGGAGGATTGCTTGAGCTCAGGTGTTCGAGATCAGCTTACAAACCTAGCAAAACCCCATCTGTATTAAAAATACAAAAATTAGCCAGGCATGCTGACAGATGTCTGTAATCCCAGCTATTAGAGGCTGAAGGAAGAGAACTGCTTGAACCCAGGAGGTGGAGGTTGCAGTGAACCGAGATTGTGCCACTGCACTCCAGCCTGGGTGACAGAGCAAGACTGCCTTAAAAAAAAACTACACATTACTAAATGAATTAGTATACTCTGTCAGCTGCCACTTTAGGAATTATTTTGAATGTATATACTTATTAAAAATAATTCCTAAAAAGAAATTCTGTAAGCCCAAGCACATACTCAGAAAACATAATCTGCCAAAATGAGCTATGATTTAATTTAATACAAACCTTTTTGAGATCACTCTACAAAAACAAACTATGATTTAGATTAGAAACTCTGGTATCCAACTAAGAGGCCATTCCCATGTAGGAAAAAGTAAACTAAATGACTATGCTAATTTTAGAATTGTCTTATGAACCTTTTTCTTTGAGGCAGCTGTGGAAAAAAAGAGACTTCAAGTCTAAGAAGAATAGCAGACTTTAAATACATTAAATAACAAGTCTGTACAAGAAAATTAGATTAAGCCAGAATCCTGTGCTGAATATTAATTAGTATATAGAACTATGGAAACCTCCTGTCAGAACATAGCTATTTACTTGTTTGTGAGCATAACCCATTACATTCTCCTTTCACAATGGATTGGAAAAGCCTACATTTCTTTCCCATTATCACAGGATCCACACAATGATTCTCACTCTCTCACCCAGAGCCATTCTGCCTCTTTACACATGAGAGGCACATGTTTCTTCCTTTGAACTAACCAGAAAGTCTGTATCCCAGTCTGCAAAATGAGGTCACAGAGATCAAAACCACAGAGCCTGCCTAATCACTGAGCCTTTTCACTGGGAATAAGCTAAAATAAAGTTCTGGTGATTTATTGAGTGAGCCCTTTGTTCAGATTCTGCTGGCCTTCCAATGACACAGCAGGACCCAGGCTGGAGAGCGTGGGGAGAGGAGGGCTGGGTGGGGAAACGAAATAGGTGGGCCGAGGGGCAAGGACAGGCCAGGCAGTGGGGAGCGGGGACCTTGCAGGGATGGATGGTGCCAACTGAAGAACTAAAAGAGAAACCAAATCTCAGCCAAGAAACTCTTCTGTTGTGAGCAAAGGGCCAAACCATAGAATAAAACAAAATTAAAACTACCTTTTTGCTTACACTGGATTCAAACTATCTTAGAACTAGTATTAAAATGACTTTAAAAAGTGATGTGAAATTCTAGATGGGTATACTTATAAAGCAAGTAAAGGGAAAAACATTGTTTAGATACTCCATTTTCATTTTCCTTTAGACAGTCTCACTCTGTTGCCCAGGTTGGAATGCAGTGATGTGCTCTCCACCTCCCAGGTTCAAGTGATTTTCCTGCCTCAGCCTCTTAAGTAGCTAGAATTACAGGCCAGTGTCACCATTCCTGCTAATTTTTCTATTTTTAGTAGAGACAGGGTTTTGCCATGTTGGGCAGGCTGGTCTCAAGCTCCTCACCTCAAGTGATTCGCCTGCCTCAGCCTCCCAAAGTGCTGGGATTACAGGCGTGAACCACCACACCCCACCTATATAGTCAAATTGTATCTGCAAAATATGTAATATTTTCAGGAATTAGAAAAATAAGGAAGATTTCTAAATTAGTGAAAAAAAAAATTATAGGACATGTAAAACATAGCGCTTTCAAGTATACTCAGTATACTTTTTACAACTCAATAAAAAGAAGTAACTCAGCCAGGCACGGTGGTTCACACCTATAATCACAGCACTTTGGGAGGCTGAGCCAGATGGATCACCTGAGGAGTTTGAGACCAGCCTGGCCAACATAGTGAAACCACATCTCTACTAAAAATACAAAAAATTAGCTGGGTGTGGTGGCTCATGCCTGTAATCCCAGCTACTTGGGAGGCTGAGTGAGGAGAATCACTTGAACCTGGGAGACAGAGGTTGCAATGAGCCGAGATCATACCATTGCACTCCAGCCTAGGCAATAACAGTGAAATCCATCTCAATAAAAACAAAACAAAACAAAAATTAGCTGGGCGTGGTGTTGGGTGACTGTAATCCCAGCAACTCAGGAGGCTGAGGCAGGAGAATTACTTGAACCTGGGAGGTGGAGGTTGCAGTAAGCCAAGATTGTGCCACTGCACTCCAGCCTGGGCGACAGAGTGAGACTCCATCTCTAAATAAAGAAGGATGTGGAGAAATTGGAACCTTCATCCATTAGTGGTTAGACTATAAATGGTACAGGAGCTTTGGAAAACAGCTTGATATTTCCTTAAAATGTTAAGCAGAGTCACCACGTGATCCAGCAATTTCTCTCTTAGGTGTATGTTTTAGAGCTAAAAGCATGTTCACACATAAACTTTTATAGGAATATTAACAGCAGCATTATTTGAAATAGCCAGAAAGTGGAAACAGTCCAAATGCCTACCAACTGATAAATGGATAAACAAAACGTGGTCCACCCGTGCAGTGGAATAGTATTTGGCAATAAAGAGGAATAAAGTATTGATGATGCTATGAACCCTAAAACATTACGCTAACTAAAGGAAGCCATACACAAATGCCCACGTTGTAGGATAACATTTATATAAAAACCTTCCTTGCCAGGGGCTGAGGAAGAATGGGAAAACAGAGACTGTTAATAGGTTTGGGGTTTCTTTTTTTTCCCCACTATCTCCAGTAATGGCGTTTCTTTTTTGAGTTTTTAAATTAAAATTTTCTGGAATTAGCAGTGGTCATTAGTAACCATGTGAATATACCAAAATACCAGTGAACTGCATTTTTAAATGGTGTATTTTATGGCATGTGAATCTCAAAAGCTACAGTGGTGTCATTTCAGACCCACCTGATTGGGAAAATACAACACTTCTACTCTGCTGGGGAAAGTGTAATTTGGTAAAATCAAATTGAAAATTTTTGGTATCATCTAGTAAAGCTGAAAATGCATCCAACTCTGACCTAACAAGTTCAGTCCGTACATTTGCATGTGGTAACTAGGACGATATAGGAATGTTCAAAGCAGCACTGTATTTTAACATCAAGGAATCGGAAACAAACTAAAGGTTTACTTTTAGTAAAATGAACAGATAAACTGTGATGTATTGATATAATGGAATTTTACAGAAGTAAAAAATGTATGATTACATCTACATTAAATCACATGGATGAATGACTCTAAAGAACATAATATTAAGTGAAAAAAAAAATCACCAAAGAATATATTACTGTGATTTTGTTTATATAGAGGCCAGAAATAGGCAAAACAAAATAAGACATTATTTCTAGTTTACCATTTTGGTTGTATCTCAAAGAAAACAACAGGCCGGGCATGGTGGCTCATGCCTGTAATCCCAGCACTTTGAGAGGCTGAGTCGAGCAGATCATGAGGTCAGGAGTTTGAGACCAGCCTGGCCAACATGGCAAAACCCCGTCTCTACTAAAAATACAAAAATTAGCTGGCACGGTGGCGGCCACTTGTAATTCCAGCTTCTCGGGAGGCTGAGGCAGGAAAATCGCTTGAACCCGAAAGAAGCAGGTTGCAGTGAGCCGAGATCATGCCAGTGCACTCCAGCCTGGGTGACCAAGTGAGACTCTCTCAAAGAAAAGAGGAGCCATGTCTACAAATGTGAATCCAGGTTTATCCTATTCTGCCCTTCTTTCCCCCGACACTTAAACTTTTAGTACACTCTTCCTCTCTGAATTCAATTAATCAAAGTGCACTCTTCCTCTCTGAATTCAATTAATCAAAGTACACTCTTCCTCTCTGAATTCAATTAATCAAAGTACACTCTTCCTCTCTGAATTCAATTAATCAAAGTACACTCTTCCTCTCTGAATTCAATTAATCAAATGATATTTTTAATCTTATGTGTGGACAGATAATATATATTAAATTTTCCATTAGAGGAAGGTAGGATGTACCTACTTTCTTTTTCTTTTTGAGATGGGGTTTCACTCTTGTTGCCCAGGCTGGAGTGCAATGGCGCCATCTTGGCTCATTGTAACCTCCACCTCTGGGTTTGAAGGGATGCTCCTGCCTCAGCCCCCTGAGTAGCTAGGATTATAGACGCATACCACCACACCTGGCTAGTTAAAAAAAATTTTTTTTAGTAGAGACAGGGTTTCATCATGTTGGCTAGGCTGGTCTCGAACTCCTGACCTCAGGTGATCCACCTGTCTTGGCCTCCCAAAGTGCTGGGATTACAGGTGTGAGCCACTGCACCCAGCCAGGATCTACCTACTTTCTTGTGTAAATTACCCAAAGTTTCCCTTGAAATATCCACAGGGTACTAAGAGATTATTTTTCAAAACTCCCTCATCAAGCTTTTACTTGCTTACTCTAACTAGGCTCTGAGCTAGATACTGGGAATTACAGATATAAGATCTCTCTGGAGAGCCAAATTTAGTGCTGAGTGAGCCAATTTAGATGTAACAATATATAATGTGTGGTGTAGAGAAGCAAGTTAATAATGTTATGAAACAATCTATTAAATCTACTTTTTGAAAAAATGGTGCTAAAGTGTTAAAAGTTTGTTTGTCCATACAAGCACAGACGTTCTAAAAATCTGCAATTTTCTATGAGAAAGGTTTTAACAAGTTTGTATTCAACATTTAATCAGGGACAACACATGAAAGCATCAGTTAACATACCTGTGATATAACCTTCTAAAGCCTTTGGCACCAGAGATTTCGCAAGTTTCAGATCCTCCAGAGAGCATTTGCCTGACTCCAAACCAAATGACATTCCCATCCGCTTTAGTACTTCTATGTCATCGTGGATCTCAAAGGTGTTGTCAAAATTGAAAAGATACTCAAACCTGCATTAGGAAACAAAGTAAAGGGTTTCTCCTGGTGCTAATGTCTGAATAGTTTCATATTTTGTACTTGAAGTAACAGAATACGGGCCTAAATCCAGCTATAATGCTAGAAATGGTTACCATTTAGAGCCATGAGTCATTCTGCTCTGTCAGGGGAATGACCTCTCAAATAAAACATTTTCCCAATTAAAACAACATTCCTCTGACAGAAGGCAGAAATTCACCAACTTTAGCCCCAATGCTGTGCAGACAGAAATTTTGTTCTAAATCTAGTACTTTTCAAAGTTGCCTAAAGCTCTGCCACAAAAGAAAAGCCTTTCTACTTTAATATTACAATAACCCTAGTCCAAGTTAGCCTGTTAGCTTTGAGGGAAAAAAACGTTTTGAATGCTTCCTTCATTTTCATGAGTCAAATGTTAGCTACGACCTACTTTAGATAAGTAATAAATAAGACTTTCAACAAATGAAAAAAACCCCAAATCCTGTCCTGAGAGGCTAAGCAGTAACATGTTTTAAGAAAGTGTCAAAGTGTCACATGTAATACATAGCATATTTCCAAATATGCTTGAAAAGTACCCAAATAGATGCCCGGCTTCCCAGCAGCCCAGCATAACATTTCAATCAAGAAGCAAAAGGAGGAAGACACAGTCCTTCTGACTCCTAGGCTAGTCCTGGAGCACCTTCATCATTGGCCTCAGCCCTGCAGGGACAGGGTTCAGGGACAGCAGCAGGTTTCACCTGGTCATGAAATTCTATTAAAATCATGTGAGGGTAAAACTTTTTATCCTAAGATAATTTGAAAAACAGATTACCTTAGGAGCAAAAATTTTAATTTGAAGCAAAATGCCAATTTAAGTAATCTAAAGTAAATGAATTTGATTGAAGTACAATAACAACTTTTTAGAAAACATAAAATCTGAAGTAGGTAGCTGCCCCAGGGATGATTTCAGGCATCTGTTAAAAGCAGATCGTTTTGTAAATGTAATCATTGTGGAAATCCTCCCAGCTAATTATGGCGAAAAGACTGCATCGCCCAAGTAACTGAAAGACAGGGTTTTTGGACTTACCTTGGATAATAAGCTTGTACAGGCTACTCAGAACCTCCTTCCCTCCATTCAAAGGAGGGCCAGGAAAGGGCATGAGTCAGGGACCACCCAAGAGATGGAAACTTCACCAGATTCCAGCCTGGGGGAACAGTGTCCATAATTCCCCTGGGCCAATGATTCCCAGATTTTCCAGTCATTCTTTTTAGACTTAAAAGACTAACTTAAGAAAATAATTGTGGAATTTTCCATACAAAACAAGACACTAACTAGAGAGAGTAACTAGAATGCTAAGTTTTATGTTTTTAACTGAAAAAATGCTAACCATTTTCTAGAAGTCTCAGTGTGTATGTATGTATGTATGTATGTATGATTTATTTATTTATTTATTTATGAATGAATGAATGAATGAATGAATGAGACGGAGCCTTGCTCTATTGCCTAGGCTGGAGTGCAGTGGCACGATCTCGGCTCACTGCAACCTCCCCCTCCTGGGTTCAAGACAGTCATGCCTCAGCCTCTTGAGTAGTTGGGATTATAGGTACACACCACCATACCCAGCTAATTTTGGTCAGGCTGGTCTCGAACTCCTGACCCACTTGTAATCTGCCCACCTCAAGCTCCCAAAGTGCTGGGATTATAGACATAAGCCACTGTGCCCAGCCTGAATTCTCAGTTTTCTGAGACTATGTTAATGGTCCTCTTTGACATATGTTTTATAAAGAATTTGCAAGTGTGTGGAAAATAATTCATATATCTACCACTTAGCACTGTGCTGGGTTCTATATTAATTTATCCGTATCTTTTGGAAACTGGCAAGGTAAATACTATAATTCTTATTTTCATGGAGAAAGGAACATGATCTGAGAAATTAAGAAACTTAGCAGATTAAAAAAATGAATCAGCTGCCAGACGAGGTGGCTCATGCCTATAATCCCAGCCCTTTGAGAGGCTGAAGTGGGCGGGTCACAAGGTCAAGAGATCAAGGCCATCCTGGCCAACATGGTGAAACTCTGTCTCTACTAAAAATAGAGAAATTAGCTGGGTTTGGTGGTGCATGCCTATAGTCCCAGCTGCTCGGGAGGCTGAGACAGGAGAATTGCTTGAACCCGAGAGGTGAAGGTTGCAGTGAGCCCAGATCACACCACTGCACTCCGGCCTGCTGGCAGAGTGAGACTCTACCTCAAGCAGAAAGAAAAAAAAAAAAAAAAGGATCAGTTTTAGATGGTCAAGGAGGTGTGCACACCTGCAGTCCCTGATACTAGGAAAGCTGAGGCAGGGGGACCACTTGAGTCTAGGAGTTTGAGGCTGCAGTGAGCTATGATTGTGCCTGTAAACAGCCACTGCATTCTAGCCTGGGCAACAGTGAGAACACTGAAAATCCACTATTTAAAAAAAACTGGATCTGGTTTACTTCATAACCTACATGGTCTCTACTATTTCTTTTTGTGTCTATAGTCTCAATTATCAAATAGCTTTGAAATTCCTGCTGTTTTTCTTTTCTTTTCTTTTTTGGCATAGAGTCTCGCTCTGTCAGTCAGGCTGGAGTGCAGTGGTGCAATCTTGGCTCACTGCAACCTCTGCCTCCTGGGTTTAAGCAATTCTCCTGCCTCAGCCTCCCTAGTAGCTAGGACTACAGGTGTGCACCACCACGCCCAGCTATTTTTCTTATTATTTTTTGAGACAGATTTTCGTTCTTGGTGCCCAGGCTGGAGTGCAATGGTGTGATCTTGGCTCACCACAACCTCTGCCTCCTGGGTTCAAATGATCCTCCTGCCTCAGCCTCCAGAGTAGCTGGGATTACAGGCATGCGCCACCATGCCCGGCTAATTCTGTATTTTTAGTAGCGACAGGGTGTCTCCATGTTGGTCAGGCTGGTCTTGAACTCCTGACTTCAGGTGATCTGCTCGCCTCAGCCTCCCAAAGTGCTGGGATTAATGGTGTAAGCCGCTGTGCTGGCTCTAATTTTTCTATTTTTAGCAGAGACGGGGTTTCACTATGTTGGCCAGTCTGGTCTCGAAATCCTGACCTCAAGTGATCTACCTGCCTTGGCATCCCAGAGTGCTAGATTACAGGCATGAGCCACCGCACCCAGCAGACTGTTTTTCTTTCATGTGTTTAGCTTCTTACTGAGTAGCCTGGAATCTCAGGACACAACAGAGACAGGCAGGGGGCGCAAGAGCGCCAGGAAGAAGAGTTAGAAAAAGAAGTGGCAGTGAACACCAAGGGCAATTCCACAGCTCTGGGGGACCGGAGTTCTGGTCTCCCTGGGACAGTTCTGGGGTACAGCTGTCGTACTGATGCAATTATTAGAGTCTTTTGCATTAATATCCCAATTTGAACAATAAATTATAGATTGACCTTCTGTAACAGCAGCTAACATTTAAAAAGCGCTTACCTTGAGTCATTAGAGACATTAACTCATTTAATCCTCACAACAAGGCTGGGAAGTGATAGGAGCCCCAGTATCATTCCTATTTGTTCTTGAGAAAACAGAGCTTTGGAGCAGTGACAGGGGAGCCACAACCTGTATGAGCGTCTATCTCACTCTGCACCCTATACATACTCTTAAGTCTTAGATGGTACTGGTAACAGCTTGAAGACCACTGAGAAACCTTTTCATGAATGGTAAAATAAATCACAAATTAATTCTATATTTTGAAAAGTGCTACTACTTATTTGCTATGCTAAATATTACCATTAATCTTAGTTAAAATGTAAAAACAATTTAAAGAAAGCAAAGAATGTGCCAGGTATTTCCACATCTATTCATACATTCATTAATAAGCATACATAACTATGATATAGCAAAACAAATAATTGCTTTAATGCCACATGTTGGCCTAAAATATTTCCATAATAAACTATGACAGTGAATCACCAATGAATCTACCTTGTCCCAGGACCCACAGTGCTGGGCTAGCTTACCGCAGTTACTTGCTCAGTTACTACATACATGCAGCATGTCACAGCTTGGGCCCAGACACTGCCACACACATATAATAGGCAGCACAGTGCCTGGCACAACACAAGGGACCATGGAGGGTGAGAGGTGGTGCTCACACTAGTAGAAGATTGCACCCATGCTTCAGGAGGTGTTTCATGTGCCCCAAGGAAGCCAGCCTTGAAGGGCTGCAGATAATGGAGTACATCCTCTTGAGTTTGCAAATGATATGACTATGTGAACAGAAGGCCAGCCCTGCACCCATCCCCTAGTTCTCCACTCACTTGTCACTGGAGATGCTGCAATCTATGACTGTTTTTCTGCTTGTATTGATAATTATAAATGGCAGCTGAATGGTAGAGTTCAGAGCAGGAGGGCCCTGATTTTGCTGTTCATTTTGTCGATTTCTCTGTACCAGGTTTTTGAAAGCAATTTGCTGTAATGATCAATAAAAAGAATATGGTCAAATGTGCATAAGTGAGCTGGAATTTAAAAGAATTAAGATAATACCATTTAAAATATAGTTTAAAATAAGACAGTTTAAAGAGACATCCCCCCTGCACGAATGAATTTAAAAATTAAACATTTAAGAAAGAATGATCCAACTCAATAAATACATTTTTCCACCATCCACAGAAACAGGACTTCATAATCTGGGAGAGAGCCAGTAGGCACCTGGAACTCTTCAGCAAATGACACAGCAAGGGTGACACCATTACTCTTGAGTGTTTGGGGTCAAATATGCCCTTCAGGATGTTTAGCCCAGGGATATGCAAACATTTTCAAGCCACAAAATCCTTTTTTCAAATAAAATCTCACTGGAGGCTAGACGCAGTGGCTCACATCCGCAATGGCAACATTTTGGGAGGCCAAGGCAGGTGGATTGCTTGAGTCCAGGAGTTTAAGGCCAACCTGGGCAACAAGGTGAAACCATAGCTCTACAAAAAATACAAACACTAGCTGGGCATGGTGTTATGTGCCTATAGTCCCAGCTACTCAGGAGGCTGAGGTGGAAGGATTGTTTGAACCCAGGAGGCAGAATTTGCTGTGAGCAGAGATCATGCCACTGCACTCCAGCCTGGGTGACAGAGTGAGACCCTGTCTCAAAAAACAATACACAAAAAATTTAACAAAGTCTCACCTAAAACAGATGGAAGTGGCACTGTTCAGGCTGGCTGTAGTAAGGGTGGGTTCTAAGCTCTGCCTCCTCTGCCCTCAAGCATAGCCACATGGTTTCTAAGGCACCTCCACACAACTTCTCAGCATTCTGAAGGCACAGCCTGGAATCCAGCCTCAGCCTTCCCTCACCAGACACTTCCAAATGAGGTAACTGAGGCTCAGCACTAATTATAAGATACATCAAGGCCTAACTCTTTTTACTGGATCTTGCTGCTACTTTTAGTTAGAACCATTACTCAAAAGCCAAAGAAAGTGATCCTTTTAGACAGAGGATGCAGTGAGCCAAGATGGTGGCATTGCAGTCCAGCCTGGGCAACAAGAGCAAAACTGTCTCAAAAAAAAAAGTGATTTCTTTTTTTCAGTATTCAAAACAAGATTTCCTTTTTTTTTTAGTAAGGCAAATGTGTAACAGAATTTCAGAGACTCAAGAAGCAGATAATGTTTTAAAAGTTCCTCGTCAGAGCCATTCATTCCCCTTCTTAGCTTGTTACATCTTGTCACCCAGTAGTGATAAATATATTTTTTACATTTTAGCAATCTTATGATCAGTATTTTTTACTTCAGGTTCTACGATTACTATTATGGGCCAGGCATAGTGGCTCACGTCTGTAATCTCAGAACTCTGGGAGGCCAAAGTGGGAAGTTCTCTTGAGCCTAGGAGTTCAAGGATGCAGTGAGCTATGATTGTGCCACTACACTCCAGCCTGGGCAACAAAAGCCCTTTTTTCTCAATAAAAAGAAAAGAAAAAAGAGGCTGGGCCCAGTGGCTCACGCCTGTAAACCCAACACTTTGGGAGGCCAAGGTGAGCAGATCACAAGGTCAGGAGTTCGAGACCAGTCTGGTGAAACCCTGTCTCTAATAAAAATATAAAAATTAGACAGGTGTGGTGGCACACACCTGTAGTACTTGGGAGGCTGAGGCAGGAGAATCGCTTAAACCTTGGAGGCAGAGGTTGCAGTGAGCTGAGATTGCGCCACTGCACTCCAGCCTGGGCGACAGAGCAAGACTCTGTCTCAAAAAAAAAGAAAGAAAAGGAAAGAAGGGAAGGAAAGCAAAGCAACAGGAAGGGGAAGGGAAAGAGGGAGGCAAAGGGAAGAGAAAAGAGAAGATTACTATTTTAAAATGGCTGAGTGCTATCTCCCCAAAAAGGGAACATTTACTCTTTTGAAATGCACATAAAAGAATGGACACCAATTTATTGTAGAGCTAATAGTGTATCCCAAAATCACTATCAATAACTAGCACTGTCACCATCGTTACCAAATATTATTAAGGTGATGCTTCTTTGTTATTTTCTGTTGCTAAAGAACTAATTCACTGCTTAATTCACTTAATAATGAGTAAAAATTATGCTGAAACTGGAACTGAGAACAAGAATTAAATGCTTGAATATCCCTGCATAGCTTCTCTTCCCTTTCACTAGACTACACATCTCAAGAGCTGTTCCACACTTTGCCTAGCTTGGTGTCCCCAGTGCCACAAGAGGACTTCGGTATATGGGGGAATATAAGCAGTGATAGCTAATGGCCCTTTTATTTGTAATTCACTGTTTAATGCTGTGTACATTTAATAGTATCAATGGTTTTTCAAGTGAAGAGAGCAGTAAAACCCTAATGTTTATTATTATTATTTTGAGATGTGGTTTCACTCTTGTGGCCCAGCCTGGAGTGCAATGGCACCATCTTGGCTGACCGCAACCTCACCTCTCGGGTTCAAGTGATTCTCTTGCCTCAGCCTCCTGAGTGGCTGGGATTATAGGCATGCACTACTACACCCGGCTAATTTTTTGTATTTTTAGTAGATACAGGGTTTCTCCATGTTGGTCAGGCTGGTCTCGAACTCCCAACCTCAGGGGATCTGCCCGCCTTGGCCTCCCAAAGTGCTGGGATTACAGGCATGAGCCACCGTGCCTGGCCATAATGTTTTTTTTTTCCCCCCCACATTCACAAATTTCATTTACTACATGTTATTTTGATAGCAAAAGGAAAAATAATATCCCACTTAATTTGAACTGACTTCCTTATTTGTTGCCTTTTGGTTTTCTTTGGCCTTTTTTTCTTTTTAAAACTCATTAACATCTATTCCAGAGGCTAAAGAGCTTTAAGCCTGTTCATTCATTTTCCTATGCATTTGTTATGGAAAAGGTTAAAGGACTGGAAGGGTCATTTACATTGATAAAAGTAGGCTATGTGGATTATCCACAGTGTGGATTGCTTTACTCACATCATTTCTCTACTACATTATGAAAAATAAAAGAGAGGTGGTAGCATGTAGGTAATAGTTACCTATGTAATGTGACATCAGTGAATTGTGACATTAACTTATAAATACCCAGGCTGCAGTGCAGTGATCTGGGCTCACTGTAACCTGTGCCTCCCAGGTTCAAGCAATTGTCCTGTCTCAGCCTTCTAGGTAGCTGGGATTAGTCATGTGCCACCATACCCAGCTAATTTTTGTATTTTTAGTAGAGACAGAGTTTCACCATGTTGGTCAGGCTGATCTTGAACTCCTGACCTCATGATCCACCTGCCTCAGGCCTCCCAAAGTGCTAGGATTACAGGTGTGAGCCACTGTGCCCCGCCACTTAAGTTATTTTCTATGACAATTTCATTTATTTGATGAAGGGAAAAAAATTGAAATGCTAGGAGGAAATAAGGTTTTGTTTTGTTTTCAGACGGAGTTTTGCTCTTGTTGCCCAGGCTGGAGTGCAATGGCGTGATCTTGCCTCACTGTGACCTCCACCTCCTGGGTTCAAGTGATTCTCCTGCCTCAGTCTCCTGAGCAGCTGGGATTATAGGCATTTGCCACAATGCCCGGCTGATTTTTTGTATTTTTAGTAGAGACTGGGTTTCTCCATGTTGATCAGGTTGGTCTCAAACTCCTGACTTCAGATGATCTGCTCACCTTGGCCTCCCAAAGTGTTGGGATTACAGGCGTGAGCCACCATGCCCGACCTTCGGAAATACATTTTATGTTTACCAGAAGACCACGAGTTGATTTCAGTTATATTTTGGGTTTCATTTTAATGTTTAGAGAGACCTGTTTCTATAAATGTTGACAGCTAGGCTGCCCCTGGGTGGAAATCTTCTATAAATATTTGGCTTGAGAGATAGTAGAGAAAAAGAAGTTCAGGACTTAAAAAATAAAAGAACAATATTCATGGTACAGAAGTAAGCAGAGAAAAAATATTCAATTTCATTCTTTGCACCAGGCATCTAAAGATGGGAAGGTCTCACACATATGAGGGTGATTTTGCACAGCACCATTCTTTCTGATAAGCAGATAACTGTAGGCATGCTAATAAACAGGTATTTAAAAATAACATGCCAAAAAAAATTAAGCTCCAAAATGTTCCATGGTTTCGAGGAAATTCCAGAAAGGCCCCAGCACAGGGTTTGGGGGACCAGCTGCTAGGGGATACTGCAGATAACTATGCAGGGATAGGGACAATGGAGAGGCAGCTGGGGGAAGAAGATGACAGCACAGGAGTTCAAGGAGGTACATTTGGTAGAATTCTACAGGGAGGAGCACAGGAATAAACTGTCAGTTTTAGCTTTTTTTTTTTTTTTTCTTTTTTAAAGCTGCACAATATTCTCTTCAAATAAAACCATTTGTGTGTGTGTATGTACTGAAATAGAGTATCACTCTGTCACCGAGGCTGGAGTGTAGTGGTGTAATCTCAGCTCACTGCAACCTCCACCTCCCAGGTTCAAGCAATTCTCTTGCCTCAGCCTTCCAAATAGCTGGGATTATAGGTGCCTGCCACCATGCCTGGCTAATTTTTGTATTTTTAGTAGAGGCAGGGTCTCACCATATTGGCCAGGCTGGTCTCGAACTCCTAACCTCAGGTGATCCTCCCGTCTTGGCCTCCCAAAGTGCTGGGATTATAGGCATGAGCCACCATGCCCAGCCCAATACTTTATGTGGAAACTCAGTATGAAAAGTATATAAAATGCCTGGTCCAGTACTAGCTCCTCAGGTAGGTCCCATGGGGTTCAGTGTGAAAACCAGACACAGAACACAGTAAGAAAGAGAAAAATGGCCTCACGAGGATGGAATGTTGTCATCTGTGGGACTTTCTGTGTTCGCAAAGTCCCTGCTTTATTGGCTGCTCTCCTCTTCCCGGGCCCTGCTTCCTTTCCTACTCCCTACACTCAGATTAACCACAGAGCTTTGGAAGGGCTACACTGTGTTCTTGGGCTTCTCTGATTTTTACATGAATATAAAAAAGCAAAACAAGCCAGGCGCAGTGGCTCAAGCCTGTAATCCCAGCACTTTGGGAGGCCGAGGCAGGTGGATCATGAGCTCAAGAGATCAAGAACATCCTGGTCAACATGGTGAAACCCCATCTCTACCAAAAATACAAAAAAATTAGCTGGGCATAGTGGCGTGTGCCTGTAATCCCAGCTACTCAGGAGGCTGCGGTAGGAGAACTGCCTGAACCCAGGAGGTAGAGCTTGTGGTGAGCTGAGATCGTGCCATTGCACTCCAGCCTGGGTAACAAGAGCGAAACTCCATCTCAAAAAAAAAAAAGCAAAACAAAACCCCAAAGCAAACGTAAGCACCTAGAAAGTGCAGATCAGAAAGCATTTGGAATATATATATATATATATTTTTTTTTGAGACAGAGTTTTGCTCTTGTTGCCCAGGCTGGAGTGCAATGGCGCGATCTTAGCTCACCGCAACCCCTGCCTCCTAGGTTCCAACAATTCTGCCTCAGCTTCCTGAGTAGCTGAGATTAAAGGCATGTGCCACCATGCCTGGTTAATTTTTTATTTTTTAGTAGAGACAAGGTTTCTCCATGTTGCTCAGGCTGGTCTCAAACTCCTGATCTCAGGTGATCTTCCTGCCTTGGCTTCCCAAAATGCTGGGATTACAGGTGTGAGCCACAGTACCCGGCCAGCATTTGGAATATTTAAGAATACAACCTATTCTGGGCATTAGACAAAGTGAGTATTGAAGGCAAAAATCTGCTACAACATTTGGTAACTTACTGCTACCCTTGTTTCTGAAAAGTAGATTACACTAAAAATTAAATAGGACCTAAAATTATTCAAATCAAATTGGGTTTTATAATTAGTTGTAAAGTTTTTCATATAAAGACATTTTGCTGAGAAAAGCAGAAGAATAAAAGCTCTCTCGCTCATTTTACAAAGTTTATCTGATTGGATTGAAAATGGCCCAACAGTATTTACTACTTGAAGTAAATGTTTACACCAACTGCAGTCACCAAAAATAGAAGAAGAAAAAAATCCATCTACCCTGTGATTTTATCTCCCATGCTTTTATACAAGGACCCTATTATACTCACGAAAACCCTCTAAATTCTGGGAAATTACCCGAAAAAGTATAAACACAGAGATCTTTATTAAGCTATAAATTTTAATTTTCTTAAAAATGCTTTTAAGTTTTGCTATTTCTTTTTCTTTCTTCTTTTTTTTTTTGGCGGGGGGGGGGCATGGAGTCTTCCCCTGTCACCCAGGCTGAAGTACACTGGCATGATCTTGGCTCACTGCAACCTCTGCCTCCCGGGTTCAAGCGATTCTCCTGCCTTAGCCTCTTGAGTAACTGGGGTTACAGGTGCATGCCACCACACTCAACTAATTTTTTTTTTTTTTTTTTTTTAAGTAGACATGGGTTTCACCATGTTGGCCAGGCTGATCTCCAACTTCTGACCTCAGGGATCCACCCGCCTTGATCTCCCAAAGTGCTAGAATTACAGGCTTGAGCCACCGTGCCCAGCCTAAGTTTTGGTATTTCTATAAATCTTACTGAATTATTTCATGCAATTCTGTCATTTACTGATAAAATAAGTATTAAAGGCAGATTTGATTACTGTACTTGAAGTACCTAAAATTTAGCCTCACTAGTGGATATGCCGAATTAGGGCTAAAATCAAAAAGACCCCTGACAGTTTATGTTTACAGAGGGCTGAGTGTCAACAGTGGACTGCTGCCAGGTATAAGTCACACACAGGGCAGGGAAGCTGCTGTGGAGCTGAGATGATGGCAAGAGATGGGACCATCGGAAGGCAGAGCATGTGGATGACAATGAGCTAGGAGGCGAAAGGGGCTGCCCTGGTGTGGGCCCACCACACACCACTCAGAGGCACCACAATTAGAAAACACACCGACTCCAAGATGAAGGAAGTGGAGAAACAGGGAAGGTAATGAAAACATCTCACATCTTTACCTGTAGGAGAAGTTCTTGCAGCTGGGCCCGCTTCTGCTTTATCCGTTCTATCCGCCTCTGCTTTTCTATCTTTAAAACATTGGTTACAAAATAACGTGAACATAGGTAGAGTATAAAGTATTCACTTTCCAGGTCCCTATTCTGAGATAACAATTCTTCCTAGAGAAACTCAACCCATCTTAACAATATGAATAAAGATAAATCACATCTTTGCAGGGGGCAGGGGTTGGAGTGAACAAGCAGGCACAGCATCAGATCTATGGCAACTATCATCAAAAATGAAACCACACACTTAATAAATACTTCTTAGCAGTACTTGTTGCAATTATTATTCAAGTTCTAATCAAAGTAATAATACCACTTAGATTATCCTTACTCTGTCTGCCAACACAAAAGTATGCATTTTATACGCATAGAGGGCTCCATTTCCAAGGTCACACAGCTAGTGAATAGCCAGAGCCAAGATTTGAACCTAAGCCCTCTGGTTACAACAGGGACTCTATATTAATTACTTTGCTATATTACTCCTCAAAGAACAAGGCAAGATCTTATTTTGGTTTCAGTTTAGCTGACTTTCCAATGAGTACAGCTGATAATAGCTATCTCACACATTCAATATACAATTCCTACTTGTAATAAGAAACATGCTAGGCCAGGCGCTGTGGCTCACACCTATAATCCCAGCACTTCAGGAGGCTGAGGAGGGCGAATGCACTTAAGATCAGTAGTTTGGGACCAGCCTGGCCAATCCAGTGAAACCCCACCTCTACAAAAAATACAAAATTAAGTCAGGTATGGTGGCGTGTGTCTGCAGTCCCAGCTACTTGGGAGTCTGAGACGCAAGAAACGCTTGAACCCAGCAGATGGAGGTTGCAGTGAGTCGAGATTGCGCCACTGCACTCCAGCCTGGGCGACAGAGCAAGACTCTGTCTCAAAAAAAGAGGGGAGGGGGGAGGAGAAAAGAAAAGAAATATGCTTGATAGACAAATTTTCCAGCTTCAAACAACTGCTTTTTTTTCCTCTCTCTCAATCTGATAACTACTTTGAGAAAACAGACATTAGGGTCTGAACTTCCTTGCAGCTGAGTTCCTCAATGTCTCCTTGGGCAAAGCCAATGACATCTGTTAGGAAAATTTATGGGAGCCCATTGGTTGGGACTGAGCTCCTGCACTAGGCCCAACAGAACAAACTAAAATAGAGTCACTCATGCTGAAGTTCCATGCCAAAACTAAGTTGTTTATCTGACCTAGGAAATCAGGAGAGAAAGAGAGAATAGCGAACTACCCCAACACGCCAGTTTTAGCTGGCATGGTAAGAGAGTCTTCTCTGTTTTAACCTTACAAGGAAAGTGACATTGAAATGTCCAATCTGCTTTTTGTTCTGTTTCTGTGTCTATCCACCTTTGCTGCTTCTCTATCTTAAAACACTATGGCCAGGCATGGTGGCTCACGCCTGTAATCCCAGCACTTTGGGAGGCTGAGGTGGGTAGATCATGAGGTCAAGAGATCGAGACCATCCTGGTCAACATGGTGAAACCCCGTCTCTATTAAAAATACAAAAAGAAAAAATTAGCTGGACATGGTGGCCTGTAATCCCAGCTACTCAGGAGGCTGAGGCAGGAGAATTACCTGAACCCAGGAGGCGGAGCTTGCGGTGAGTCGAGATCGTGCCATTGCACTCCAGCCTGGGTAACAAGAGAGAAACTCCGTCTCCAAAAAAAAAAAAAAACAACAAAAAAAAAACCCAACAACAAACCACTGAAGAACGTTAACCTCTTCTGCTCAGCTTATCGGAGGAACACTCTTTCTACTTAATAATGAGGTGTTACAAGATTCTAGAATCACAAATAAAAGCCAATTAAATAGAATCTTTAAATTTGTTACCATTTTGTCTTTCAATCATGAAATGAAACATTTTTCTCTCTGCTCCAGCAGATAATCTCTTTGCTTGCTCCCATCCAGTCTAGTGTGTACTAGGAGTTTCCATTCATGGTTCCTCTATCCACTACCATGCTTTACTCCTAAATTAAGATTCACTGGAAAATTTGTGTGGTGTTCTGCATTTGAAAAGATGTTGTAGGAGCATCCCTTGCATCAGAAGCTCTGACAAGCCAGGCCCCCCTACCTGTCCCTCATCCAACCAGGTCAAGCTGCACTGATTCCACCTCTAAAACACCTCTCCAATCTCATGGCCACTGCTGTAACTCAGACTATCTAAATTCCCCTCCTTCATTCCATTTCCTTCCCTATCTACCTATTAATTTTACTTTCAACCCACTGGCAGAGTGATCCTTTAAAAAACATCCTATCAACCCTTCTCTTTGTAATTTATCAACTGCTTCCCATTGTTTACAGGATCAGGCCCCCACTGCTTAACACTTAGCTATCTGTCCCCCTTTCTCCATGCCTGTTCCCTGGCCACACCCAGGTCCAGGTATGCTTTTTCATGCCTATCTCAGTCCATGTAGCACCTTTGCCTGGAAGGCCCTCCCCACCCTTATCCACTTGGCAAACTACTCCCATCTCATGCCTGAGCTCATGTATTATTTCCTTGGTAAAGCCCTCCCTCATCCCTCTTTGCAGAGAATCTGTACATTTCTTTTACAGGAATAATCACATTTTTAGTAACTCTTTTACATTTCTCTTCTCCCCAGTTGGAATGACAGTTTCTTGGTGTCAGAGATTTGCCTTGTATAACCTGTGGTTAAGCACAAGGTAGATGTGAATAGGTTTTTTTGCTTAATGAGTCTGTAGTATTAGCTCAGTATTACTGATCATGAAAATGATGCTCAAATTCCACTCTATCACAAGGAAGAAAAACAAGAAAAGGTTATTTCCACTCTAGCATATAAAAAATATTCTTTAGCTTCTGATGAATCTCTGGTTTCTTTCTCCATCCAGAAGTATAATACTAAATAACTTATTTGCTGGGGGGAAAAAAGACTGAGAAAAACAGGAAATCAATCTTAATGATCTCCCAAAGCTATATAATAATAATTATTTTTTTTTTTGAGATGGAGTCTTGCTGTTGTCACCCAGGCTGGAGTGCAATGGCACGATCTTGGTTCACTATAACCTCCGCCTCCCAGGTTCAAGTTATTTTCCTGCCTCAGCCTTCTGAATAGCTGGGATTACAGGTGTACACCACTATGCCCAGCTAATTTTTGTATTTTTAGTAGAGGAGGGGTTTCATCATGTTGGCCAGGCTGGTTTTGAACTCCTGACCTCAGGTGATCCTCCCGCCTTGGCCTCCCAAAGCGCTGGGATTACAGGCTTAAGCCACCGTGCCATATTTAACCTCAGTTTACTCCATTTATGGCCATGATAGCAAAATTATGTAAAGTCAATTTAGAAACAGTATGTCAGGGAACATGTTCATTTAGGGAGAACTTCCTATAATGTTTAAAGTTAACAGAATTTAAAATGCTTCTGCACACATCATTCAAAAATTCTATCAATTCTGGCAAAGACACAAATGAAACGCCATTTATTCTGTTGCTACTAGTTCTAAAGTCAAATGCAAAAGTCTGACTTTCATAGCTGTAGTCAGAATATTGTGTAACCAATAAAGGAAATAAACAGCCAGCTTGATCCATTTTTTTTTTATACATACAGCCAGCATCTCATTAAAAAAAGTGTACTAGTAGAGCACTCAGGATTAAATTCGAATAAAATAAAAATCTTCTCTAAGAAACAGAAAAATCAAATTGTTATTTAACTTTTATATCTCTCTGTTTCATCATTTACCAATTAAACTGTAGAATATACCAATTCTAAAATTCTATAGTCTGTTAAAAAATGACATAGTATACATGAACAGTTGAAAATTTTATATTACATGAGCATATTTTTAAATTAAAATGCCTCTGATGTAAAATAATGCAAACAGCTATTCATAAACAGATTTTCTCACTTACCTCCAGATTCTGACATTCCTGAGCAGAATTGGTAGGTAGGCCAATCCACTTAATTTCTTTTTTTTCCTTTGAAATTATGTTCATTGCCATTAGTACATTTAAAGCATCATAAACTCTTCGCCTAATGTTCTTCTGATCGTAAGCCTGCTAAAAAGTATTTTATTGAGTGATAAATTTTAAGGGTTAAGTCACATGATATTAACATATCAAATTAATACTACATCTTCAAAGTGCTGGAATAATTCTATTTTTTTATTTAGCTAATTGACGAAGACATCCAAAAGAATTTTATATTCTGTGAAAATATCCTTCAAAATTAAAGATGAAATAATATTGTTTGAAAATACTTTCAAACAATATAAAACAAAATAATCTTAAAAATAAAGATCATGTTACCCACAGATCTACACTGAAATATACTTAAGGGATTACTTCAGGTAAAGAAATATCATCTAAGATGGGAGCTTAGAGATGAAGGATAGAATGAAGACCAACTCAAAAGTTAAGTATGTGGGTAAATCTCAGTTCTCACGGTATAAAACAATAATCATGTCTTATGGAGTCTAGAATAAATACAGAACTTAATATACATGACTACAAATAGCATATATATTAACTGAAAAAGGTATTGGAGGTAAAGTATTCTAAGGCCTTGCATTGTCTGAGAGGATTTTAGACTTTAAAAAAATCAAGGACACTTATTCAAATTCTGGACAAAACTGTGCTTCTCAAAATGTGTTCCTTGAACACTGCTGATCTGCAAACTGTTTCCAATTTACAATGAGACTCAGAACTTGCACCAAAATATAATCCTCTATGTCACAAGGGACACCATTCAGTTCAGCTGACCTTTTCTTTCTTTTTTTCTTCTTTTCTTGATAGCAAGACTTACTCAATGAAGGAAACTGTTGGTTTACATTGTGGAACAAAGTCCTCATGAAATGTAATGATAACAAAGGATGGAGGAGAACACTGAATCCACCTAAATATAAAACTAGATCTAAATAAGTGGGAGATTTAAGTTATAGAACTGAATGTACTAGACATTTTGACACTGGGCTGGGAGCAGTGGCTTATGCTTGTAATCCCAGCACTTGGAGAGGCTGAGGCGGGCAGATCATCTGAGGTCATGAGTTCAAGACCAAGCCTCACCAACATAGCGAAGAAAAAATACAAAACCTAGCTTGGCATGGTGGCATGCGCCTATTATCCCAGCTACTAGGGAGGCTGAGGCAGGAGAATTGCTTGAATCCAGGAGGTGAAATTGCAATGAGCCGAGATTGCGCCACTGCACTCCAGCCTGGGTGACAGAGTAAGACTCCATCTTAAAAAAAAAAAAAAAAAAAAAAAGGAAATATTGACATTATAGAAAAAAATGATACTATAAGAAGTACCAGGAGGAGGAAATGCAGTAGGTATGCCAATTTCCTCTTTTTGATACTGGAAGGGATACGGATATTGTTCAAAGCAGATTAAATAATTATAAAAGGTTCAGCACGATCTGTTGATTTAAAGTAATACAAACAATTCTAATAGTATTATTATTGTTTTTCCGAGACAGAGTCTTGCTCTGTCACCAGGCTGGAGTGCATGGCACCATCTAGGCTCACTGCAAACTCTGCCTCCTGGGTTCAAATGATTCTCCTGCCTCAGCCTCCCGAGTAGCTGAAATTATAGGTGCGTACCACCATGTTGGCCAGGCTGGTGTCAAACTTTTGACCTTGTGATTGATCCACCTGCCTCGGCCTCCCAAAGTGCTGGGATTATACGCGTGAACCACTGTGCCTGGCCTGTAATAGTATTCTTATTCTTTTAACAAATATACTAAAATATCTAATCTGAATCTTATGGTAGAAGAGAAAAATGGAAGATAAAAATAAACATACATTTTTCTTCATAACCAATAGACACTGTCTACAGGTGATAACTCAAGGAACTTAAGTTATAAAGGTAACCAACTGAAGAACTAGAGACTACAAGCACCCTAAATCATCAGAAAAATCACAAAGCAGTGAACAAAGAGGGGAAAAACTCAACCTTTGTTTGTATCCTGGGAAGGTGGTGGTGTTCGGGTATTAATAAAAATGTATTTTATATGTTGAAAAGTACTAAGAAGAAATGCTTCATTGTGGTGACAGGTGAGTGGAGATCACAGGGCATGGAGGGAGAAGCCATATGGATACATAGCACAGAGTGCTCTAGGCAAAGGAAACAGCAAGTGCAATGGCCCGATCAGGAACAAAACATGTAGCTGGAGCGTAGTGACATGTGGCTGGAGGATAGTAAATGAGAAAGTGCACAGGAGAGGACAAGATTAGTGAGGTAATGGTGGGCAAGATCACAAAGCAGCTTGTAGCTCATTGTTAGAACCAAGGCTTTCACTCAGAAACAGAATGCTATATACTTTTCTTTTTTTTTTTTTGAGACAGAGTTTCACTTTTGCTACCCAGGCTGGAGTGCAATGGTGCGATCTCGGCTCACCGCAACCTCCGCCTCCTGGGTTCAGGCAATTCTCCTGCCTCAGCCTCCTGAGTAGCTGGGATTAAAGGCACGTGCCACCATGCCCAGCTAATTTTTTTGTATTTTTAGTAGAGATGGGGTTTCACCATGTTGACCAGGATGGTCTCAATCTCTTGACCTCATGATTCACCCGCCTCAGCCTCCCAAAGTGCTGGGATTACAGGCTTGAGCCACCGTGCCCGGCCCTATATTTTTCTTTTTCAAGTGGTTAGAGAACATTAAAAGGAAAGAAAATCACTATATCATGGCTCCCAAGGAAAAAATATAATCCACAGAAAAGGGAAATAGTTCAAATCATATTATCTGGTCAAATTAAGTATGAAAAGTAAAACTTTAAGGCAACAAATAAGCAAAAAAAGAAAAGAAAAACATTTGTAACTATAAGAACTCTTTCTAAGGCAATTCTTAGATCAAAGAACAAATTCAATCCAAAATTACAGAATATTTAAAGAACGATATATCAGAATCAAGGGCTAAATCAGTGCTCAAGAGTATAAGTCATAGACACATAGACACACACACACACACACACACTTTTTTAAAGAGATTAAGTCTTGCTTTGTCACCCAGGCTGTAATGCATGATTGAATCCCTGGGCTCAAACAATCCTCCTCAGCCTCTGGAGTAGCTGAGACTACAGGTTTGTGCCACCACATCTGGCTAATTAAAAAAAAATTTTTTTTTTTGTAGAGGTCGGGCATGGTGACTCATGCCTGTGATGCCAGCACTTTGGGAGGCTGAGGCTGGAGGATCATTTGAGTTCAGGAGTTCAAAATCAGCCTGTGGCAACATAGTGAGAACCCTATCTCATAAAAAAAAAATTAAATAAATAAATTTTCTCTCTGTAGAGGCAGAGCCTTGCCATTTTTGTTCCCTGTTACTCAGGAGGCTGAGGCACAAGAATCACTCAAACCTAGGAGGCAGTGTTCAGTGAGCCAAAATTACACCACTGCACTGCATTTATTTGAGACTCTGCCAGACAACTGAATTTTTATCTTTTTTTTCTTTTTTAAAGATGAGGTTTCACCATGTTGGTCACGCTAATCTTGAACTCCCAACCTCACGTGATCTGCCCGCCTTTGCCTCCAAAGTGCTTGGATTACAGGTGTGAGCCACCACGGCCGGCTGCAACTGAATTTTTAATAAACATATTTCTGTATTCCTTTTCCAATTAAAAATAAAATTTTTTTGTTGACTTAGACACTGAAGAAACAATAAGATTCAGAAACATAAAAAAATTACTGGTGGCCAGGCGCAGTAGCTCATGCCTGTAATTCCAGCACTCTGGGAGGCTGAGGCGGGTGGATCACTTGAGGTCAGGAGTTCATGACCAGCCTTGGCCAACATGGTGAAATCCTGTCTCTACTAAAAATACAAAAATTAGCTGGGCGTGGTGGCAGGTGCTTGTAATTCAAGCTACTCAGGAGGCTGAGGCAGCAAAATCGTTTAAATCCAGGAGGTGAAGTTGCAGTGAGCTGAGATTGTGCCACTGCACTCCAGCCTGGGCAACAGAGTGAGACTCCGCCTAAAAAAAGAATTCCCTACAAAATAAAACTCAACAACAACAAAAAAATCCCCCCAAATACAGGATGAAACTCTAAAGTATAGTCATTCACCTCGCTTATCTGATTCCTCAAATCTATTACACGGCTAACACAAAGAAAGTAGCATCATCCATCAAAATCAACGGCAGGTTCATGGTCTACCTACCGAATCAGCTGCCAAATGGTTATTTGAATTGGTGAACTCTGACACCAGCTCATCAGCGACTTCATTGTATGATGTTGTACCTTTTCGTTGAACTTTCTCACACACTTTCATTGAAAAGTGTCTCAAGCCTTTCCCATTTTTATCTCCTTTTTTGCTCCGTTTACTAGAAGAGAAAATTTACTCCATTACACATATTAGAGACTTCCTTTACAAATCTCTGTAAGATAATGCAAGAAGACAGTAATTTAAGTTTTGCTTCATATGGCAAAAATTTAACAGAGATGAGAAAATGTTTATTTAAACTTACTTTTTGCCTTAAGGGCCTAATAAAATATGAAGTTAGAGTGCTTTTCTATGCCCATCATTTATTTATTCAACAAATGTTTACTGAACAGTTACTATTCTGTGCCAGATACTGTTACTGACACTGAGAATAAGTCAGTGAAAAAAACACAGAAACTCTGCCCTTGTACAGCTAACATACGTATCTTTTTGTATTCTATGTAGATTATATGATTTTTTACTGAAATTAAAACTACAGTCATTTGCTGCATATACAACAGTGGTCCCCTGTTCCAATGGATTCCAATGGAGCTGAAAAATTCTCATTGCCTAGTGATGCAGTAGACATTGTAATGCCATAGCATACTGCATTACCCTGACGCTGGCAACAAAGCTACTGCACTGCCAGTGCTAAAGAAGTCTAGCATGTGCAATTATGGACAGTACATAATACTTGATAATAAATGACTATGTTACGGGTTACCATATTTACTAAACTACACTTTTCATCATTATTTTAGAGCGTACTTCTTCAAATTATAAATTAAACTGTAAAAAGCTTCAGGCAATCCTTCAGGAGGTATCCGGAAGAAGGCATTGTTATCACAGGAGATGACAGCTCCATGCATGTTACTGCCCCTGAGGACCTTCCAATGGGACAAGATTTAAAGGTGGAAGACAGTGATGTTGATGATCTTGACCCCTGTAGCCCTAGGATGGTGTGTACTTCTGTCTGTTTTTTTTCTTTCTTTCTTTTTTTTTTTTGGAGACAAGAGTCTTGCTCTATCCCCTAGGCTGGAGTGTAGTGGTGTAATCTTGGCTCACTACAACCTCTGCCTCCTGGGTTCAAGTGACTCTCCTGCCTCAGCCTCCTGAGTAGCTGGGATAACAGGTGTGCACCACCATGCCTAGCTAATTTTTCTCTTTTTGGTAGAGAGGGGGTTTTGCCATGTTGGCCAGGCTGTTCTCTAACTCCTGACCTCTGGTGATCCATCCACCTTGGCCTCCCAGCTGGGATTACAGGTGTGAGTCACTGCAATTGGTTCTGTGTCTCAGTTTTCTGTTTTTTTTTTTTTTTTTTTATTAAGGGTCTCACTCTGTTGCCCAGGTTGGAGTGCAATGGTGCCATGATGGCTCACTGCAGCCTAAACCTCATGTGCTAAAGTGATCCTTCCACCTCAGCCTTCCAAGTAGTTAGAATTACAGGTGCATGTCACCAAACTTGGCTAATTTATTTTCTTTTTTGTAGAGACAAGGTCTTGTTATGTTCCCCAGGCTGTTCCTGAACTCCTGACTTCAAGTGATCCCTCCCACCTCAGCCTCCCAAAGTGTTGGGTTACAAGTGTGAGCCACCCTGCCCAGCCACATCTCACTGTTTAACAAACAAGTTTCAAAAGTATAAAAAAAAAGTTAAAAACAAACAGAAACAAGCTTATGGAATAAGGATATAAAGAAAATATTTTTGTATAGCTCTATGGTGTGTAATGATCAATCAGAGTAATTGGGGTATCCATCATCTCAAGCCTTTATTGTTTCTTTGATTAGGAAAATTCCAATTCCATTCCTCTAGTTACTTAAAATATACAATCAATTGGTTGTTAACTACAGCAACCTATTATATTACAAAATACTAGGAATTATTCATTCTATCTAAGTGCATTTTTAGAGCAATTAACATGTTTGTGGGTTTCTGTTTGTTTTTTTGAGAAAGTGTCTCGCTTGATCCCCTAGGCTGGAGTGCAGTGATGCGATCTCAGCTCACTGCAACCTTCGCCTCCTGGGTTCAAGTGATTCTCCTGCCTCAGCCTTCTGAGTAGCTGGGATTACAGGTGCCCACCACCATGACTGGCTAATTTTTATAGTTTTATTAGAGATGGGGTTTCACCATGTTGGTCAGGCTGGACTTGAACTCCTGACCTCAAGTGATCCATCCACCTTGGCCTCCCAAAGTGCTGGGATTACAGGTATGAGCCACTGCTCCTGGCTAATATGTTTGTGTTTGCGTGGTTTTCTTGTTTTTGTTTTGAGAAGATGGAGTCCTGCTCTGTTGCCCAGGCTAGAGTGCAGTGGCATAATCTAGGCTCACTGCAACCTCTGCCTCCTGGGTTCAAGCAATTCTTCTGCCTCAGCCTCCCAAGTAGCTGGGACTACAGGTGCCTGCCACCACACCTGGCTAATTTTTGTATTTTTAATAGAGACGGGGTTTTACCATATTGGCCAATCTGGTCTCGAACTCCTGACCTCGTGATCCACCGTATCCAGCTATGTTTAAGTGTTACTAAGAATTAAATAGTTTGAGAACATTAAAAAGTTTATCAAGTAAAACAGTTATAGTAAGCTAAGGTTAACTTATTACTGAAGAAAGAAAAATCTTTTTAAAATAAATTACTGTAGCCTAAGTATACAGTGATTATAAAGTCTATAGAAGTGTGCAGTAATGTCCTAGGCCTTCATATTCCCTCACCACTCACTGACTGACCCAGAGCTACTTCCAGTCCTGCAAGCTCCCTTCCTGAAAAGTGCCCTATAAAGGTGTGTCATTTAAAAAATATCTTTTACAAAGTATTTTTAGTCATACCTTTTCAATGTTTAGGTATATTTAGGTGCACAAATACTTATCACTGTGTTACAATTACCTATAGTATTCAGTATAGTAACATACTATGCAGGTTTGTAGCCTAGGAGCAATAAGCTATGCCAAGTACCTAGGTGTGTAGTAGGCCACGCCATTCTGGGTTTGGGTAAGTACACTTGATGATGTTCACGTAATGATGAAATCACCTAATGAAGCATTTCTCAGAACACATCCCCTCATTAAGTGATGTGGGACTGTGAATATATTTAGTGATAAATAATTTACATGTTCTATGTTATGTATATAGAAACAGATACTAAACATGCAGTTTTAAAAGGAATATGAGGAAACAACAGATACCTATTTTCTTTTCCCTATATTCCCAAAGAATCGTGTGTGCATCCCTTGTGACAGAATAGGTATCTTACATCACAGACTATTTATTTGAAATCATATGGAATAACTAAAATACACTGCATGGTATTAAGTGGGGAAGTAGAATGGTGAGATTTTCAGTTAGGCAGACATTCTCACTGCAAATCAGAAGATTTTAGAATCAGAGTTAAACAGTAGAAGTGGAATTTATGAGGCAAAAGCAATGACAAAGACCAATTTGAGAGGCTATTGAAATAGTCCAGGTGACAGAAGAAGAATCCCCAAACTGGGGCAGTGGTAGGGCAGGAGACAAAAAGATGGATTTACAAAATTTTAAAAGATAAAAATCAATAAAACTGATGTGGAAAGTAAGGAAGAGAGGAATAGAATAACCTCTAGAAAGAAGGGTCATTTACTGAGATCAAAGAGATGAATTAAGTTTATGAGTTGCATTTTAAACCTCCTACTCAGCACGGTCCACTACCCCTAGGCACAACTCACATGTGGCTACTGAGTACTTGATACGTGGGAAGTGTGAATTGAGATACGTTTAAGTTGAACACACTGGATTTTAAATAATTAACATGAGGAATGGATGTAAAATACCTTACTAGTGATTTTTATATTTAATGACACATTGAAATACAATGTTTTGGATATAATGAATTAAATTAAAAATATTAGGCTGGGCATAGTGGCTCATACCTGTAATCCCAGCACATTGGGAGGCTGAGGCAGGCAGATCATCTGAGGTCAGGAGTTTGAGACCAGCCTGGCCAACATAGCGAACCTGGTTTCTACTAAAAATTACACTATACTACACACCACACCACACCACACCACACCACACCACACCATGGGTGTAGTGACGCATGCCTATAATCCCAGCTAATCAGGAGGCTGAGGCAGGAGAATTACTTGAACCCAGGAGGTGGAGGTTGTGGCGAAACAAGATTATGCCATTGCACTCTAGCTTGAGCAACAAGAGTGAAACTTGGTCTTAAAAAAATAATAAACATAGGTCAGGCGCGGTGGCTCACACCTGTAACCCCAGCACTTTGGGAGGCTGAGGCGGGTGAATAACGAGGTCAAGAGATCAAGACCATCCTGGTCAACATGGTGAAACCCCGTCTCTACTAAAAATATAAAAATTAGCTGGGCATGGTGGCATGCGCCTATAGTCCCAGCTACTCGGGAGGCTGAGGCAGGAGAATTGCTTGAACCCAGGAGGCAGAGGTTGTGGTGAGCCGAGATCGCACCATTGCACTCCAGCCTGGGTAACAAGAGCAAACCTCCGTCTCAAAAAATAAATAAATAAATAAATAAAAACAATAATAATAAAAATATTAAAATTAAATTCAAATATTTATTTTCTTTCAACATTATTGGACAGCAATGATGTTAGGTATGGGATTTTATATATAGCCAGGCAAAGAATTGGTTAATGGCATGAAGTAAATAATTTCTCTACTTAGTGGTTACATAGTTACATACATTCTTAAGACTACACAAGTACAGTAGTGAGAAGGGGGTCAAATGTAGAACGATGAGTTCAATCTGTGTTCAAATGACTGTGAACAATCAATTGAGATAACTCACTACCTTTGGGCCAGCCAGTTATATACTTGTGAAAAGCCAGGAGTGAACTAAGGTTGTTTTTCATCCAATTCTTGGTCTTTCTGTTAAAGGGAGTGGTAAGATGGTGTGGTTTCAAGCCATCACTTGGCTAACTGGCTCTCTGTAGTCATGTCCGGATATATTTAAAGGAAGAAACTAAACGTAGTCCTTAAGTAGGAACAACTATAATTTTAACAACTCTTATAAAATGCTGATAGCTATACTCTTGAAATGTAGATACAAGCCTACATGTAAGAATTTTCTAAAATCAGTTCAGTGAATACATTGATAATAAACCTGAAGAAAACGTGGTTAAATATCAACATCAGTAAACTATCAGATACGTATTTTGAACAATTTGCTCTATTTAACTCTGATCCACAGTCATTTATCTGAAAAATGCAGAATACCCATCTCACGAGTTGTGAGGATGAAATGCATATAACATACGGTACACTACAAGTGATTTTTCCCCTTCATAAGCTGCCAGAATTTTCTCAAGCAATAGAAAACCAAAGGGCTGAATCAAGAAAGTAAGCTTATTATTTGGAAGGTTAATAGAGTATCATGCCAGAACTCAATCAATATACCCATTAAAATTCAACAAGGAAGGTTAGAAGACTCAACACCTGCCATGCACAGATGAGGGATTTGGTCCTGCAACCAATCCAGTAAACCACTTTGAAAGTTAAGCAAAAAACGGCTCTAGTTAAAGAACACTAAAAGGCAAAAGGCTATATAAAGAACTACAACACTGAAAAACCAAAAAACCCAATTCAAAAATGGGCAAAGGGCTGGGTGTAATGGCTCATGTCTGTAATCCCAACACTTTGTGAGGCCAAGGTAGTTGAATCACTTGAGGTCAGGAATTCAAGACCAGCCTGACCAACACAGTGAAACCCATCTCCACAAAAAATACAAAAATTAGCCGGGCATTGTGGCACATGTCTGTAATCCCAGCTACTTGGGAGGTTGAGGCAGGAGGATCACTTGGATCCAGGAGGCAGAGGTTACAGTTCATGTCACTGCACTCCAGCCTGGGAGTGAGACTCCATCTCAAGAAGAAAAAAAAAGGTGAAAGACTTAATAGTCATTTATCCTAAAAGATATACAAATGGCCAAAAAGTACATGAAAAGATGCTCAACATCACTCATCACTAGAGAAATGTAAATCAAAACCATAATGAGATGCCACTTCATACCGATTAGAATGGCTATTATTAAACAAAAACTGAAAACAAGAAGTGTTGGAGAGGATGTAGAAAGCTGCACCCACTGTGCACTGCTGGTAGAAATATAAAATGGTACAGCCGCTGTGGAAAACAATACAGCAATTTCTCAAAAAAGTAAACATAGAATTACCATATGACTCAGTAATTCCACTTCTGGGTATATACCCAGATGAATTTGAAAGCAGGAACTCAAACAGGTATTTGTACACCCATGTTCATAGCACCATTATTCACAATACTTGAAATGTGGAAGCAACCCAACTGCCCACCAATGGATAAACAGATAAAATGTGGTATATACATGCAATGAAATATATTCAGCTTTAAAAAGGAATAAAATTCTGATACATGCAACACTACAGATGAACCTCGAAGATGTAAGTAACATAAGTCAAACGTAAAAAGATAAATATTGGGGTGGTAACAGTGGGTCACGCCTGTAGTCCTAGCACTTTGGGAGACCAAGATGGGTGGATCACCTGAGGTCAAGAGTTTGAGACCAGGCTGGCCAACACGGTGAAACCCCATCTCTATAAGAAAAAATAAATAAATATTGTATGATTCCACTTATATGAAATGAAATTATAATCAAACTCATAGAAAACAGAACAGAGGGACTATGGGGGAGTGGGAAATGAAGTGTTGTTGCTTCATGGGGAAAGAGTTTCAATACAGGATGGTGAAAAAGTTCTGGAGCTGGATAGTGGTGATAGTTGCCCAACAACTTTTTATTTCTCCATGGTTCTTTTGGTTTTGAACTCGCTTATGTTTTGTTGTCTTTTATGCTAAAGTTTTGATGGTTTCATGGCTTCATAAGCCAGTATATTTCTGCAAATCAGATGCTGTAGTTTATGTATTTCATCATCAATTATGGCTACAAAACCAAATTCAACATGTGAGTGGGTCAAGTTTTTGAGCAAAACTAACACAAACTATTGTATTCGTTTTCTTCTTTTTACATTGCTCCTTGTGGAGCTGGACTATCCCATAGGTAATGTGCCCTGATCTTCATTCTTTAAATTACTTCCATTGTCACATCTGGTTAACTATTACTGCTGCTACCTTAAGCAAAGGTATGCCTTTTCTGGAAAAAATAGTTAAGGATGCTTATTTCATCATTAGAAATGAGGATTAAAATAAAAGTTTACTTTTCTAATTTAGCTAATAATTTTAAAGAATTGTTTGTTTGAAACAGGCTTGTTTGAAAAATTAAAATAATTGTAGAAATGTTATGAAATTAATGTCTATTTTGGCCAAGCACAGTGGCTCACGCCTGTAATCCTAGGACTTTGGGAGGCCGAGGAAGGCAGATCGCTTGAGCCCATGAGTTCAAGACCAGCTTGGGCAACATAACAAGACCTCATCTCTACAAAAAATGTAAAACCTAACGAGGGGTGGTGGTGTGTGCCCACTACTTAGGAGGCTAAGGTGGGAGGACTGCTTGTGCCCAGGAGGTCAAGGCTGTAGTGAGCCGTGACTGTGCCACCGTACTCCATTCTGGGTGTCAGAGCAAGATGGAGTCTCCCATTGCATACGCAGGAGTGCAGTGGCTCGATCTCGGCTCACTGCAACCTCTACCTGCTCGGTTCAAGCAATTCTCCTTCCTCAGCCTCCCAAGCAGTTGGGATTACAGGCATGCACCACCACGCCTGGCTAATTTTTGTATTTTCAGTAGTGTTGGGGTTTTGCCATGTTGGCTAGGCTGGTCTCAAACTCCTGACCTCAAGTGATCCACCCGCCTCAGCCTCCCAAAGTGCTAGGGTTACAGGTGTGAGCCACTGCACCTGGACAGAAACTCCTACATTTTCTAATTTGCTAGCTCTAATTTGCTGTGCCCTGAGAAACTAGATGGCCAAATGTGTGAGAATTCAGTCTAAAATGAAAGTGAACAGGCTCTGAGTAAGAGTCTTCGGACTACGTATAAAAGATGTGTGTTTTCTTGTCCTGATGCTAGTGCAGTTTCAGTTCTTTGGTGGATTTTGTTGCTTGCTCCTTGGTCTTAACTGTTTTCAACAGATATAATCATGTCTGAGGAGCTGCCATATTTCATCATAGAAATATATGGTGAAATGTTATTTTCTCTTTAATGGAAAGTCCTCTTTCCAACTCAAACTGGTGTTTACTGGTGTTTATCCTTGGAAAGGGTAACAGTACAAGTTCTTGCAGATGTATTTAGCAATGTTTAAGGCCTTAAAATGGAACCATTTATCAGTTAAAATTGGTGGCACCTCTGCACTGCAAACAGTTCAAAAAACAAGATTCTAGCCGAGATGGTGCCACTGCACGCTAGCCTGGCGAGACTCCTGTCTCGGAAAGGGGAAGGGGAAGGGGAAGGGGAGGGGGAGGGGAGGGGAAGGGGAGGAAAGGAAAGGAAAGGAAAAAGGAAAGGGAAAAGCTTGTTAAAGTTTGGGCATATTAGGGTAATGTGGAGTGTTCACTTGAGAGAACTCTTCATTTCCCAGAAGGAAAGAGGGGAGGGACTAAGGGATATACTACCAACAGCCAATCTGCTCACACGGTAATTTCTCCTGAAACCATACAGACACTATGAATGAACTGGGCCACTCAATGCAGAATGAAATAATGGCAAAAACTGAATGAAGTTTAAGTTACATGAAGAAAAACATCACATAAAACCAGAGTAGTCGCAACACCAACAACCTCTCTATACAGCAAAATCTTTCAAAATATTTACGTATACTCACCTTTCTGAAAAATCAGAGTCTATAAATTCTCTAGCCCGTTTTCTATCACTAAAAAGGAAAAAAGATAGCATAAAAACAACACATACTTAGACGAAATTTAATTTCGTTAATACTTTATTATAACTTATCTAATTCTACACTGAATATATTCAGACTAAAACTAACACATACAAAAGATAGGTATATGAAATAAATCTTAATTTTATCATGTGAACAAGACATCACAACATACTAATCATGAGTTGAAATCAGCTCAATGAACAGTTAGCGAGGAAAACACTGCAAACTTGCAAATAAGACAGAGAAAAATTATATTCACTCTGCAAAATACTGACCATAAAACACAAGACAATCCTGCCACCTCCAATATAAAGCACAAATGGGGCTGAAAACATCCAGACCCTGGCCATTTCCAAAGTGGGCCAACACTGCTGGCAGAGGCTTGGCTTTCATGTTATAATCTTTCAAGGCCATACAGAAATCCAAGGTAACCTTAGACCTACGTAAGAATGTTCATAAGGATTGAATAATGCCCACAGGATTACAGCTAATTCTGTCACTTCAGTTCAATTGATAATGGAAAAGTATGTAGATACAAAACTATCTGTCTTTAATACTTATGTGTTTGTACATGTGTGTGCATGTATGTATGTATATTGATATGTATACAACTTAAAGCACCTTGCCAGGATTGTTATTAGTTTCACTTAATATACTTGAAGCAAGGAGATTCTTACTGAACTAAGATTTGCCATCTGCTTGCTCAAACTCACATATGATAGAATCACCAATGCAGTATTCCACCATGTAAATAACTTCTAAAGTAACAAAATGTCTAAAGTGACAAAATGAGGTTTTGAGTCACTTATTTCTTTTTCTTTTATGGAAGTATGAGGTGCTAAAATAATAAGGAGTGGAGAAAGGCATAAGTATTTTACATGTAAAGATGAAACATATTTAAGTTTGTAATAAAAGTGGCAAATGAGTAACATGGAAGGGATATTGATTCAATTGTTCAGTGTTTACAAAGAATCAAGAGGAAATTTAATAAAAATCTTATTTGGCCTCTTTTCCTAGCCTTTTCTGATTTTTTAAGGAAATAAGAATTCATAGGGGAAATTCTGAGTATAGCCAACACTTAATATTTAACTCCTTTTTTATGTGAGTTAAAAATATATAAAATATAGTTTTTACATCTCTAAAGTTAAATGTTATAATAATAAAAGTAGTCCTATTCAGAGTTTAAAAAATCACAGGGTTGGCCGGGCGCGGTGGCTCAAGCCTGTAATCCCAGCACTTTGGGAGGCCGAGGCGGGTGGATCACGAGGTCAAGAGATCGAGAGCATCCTGGTCAACATGGTGAAACCCCGGCTCTACTAAAAATTACAAAAAATTAGCTGGGCATGGTGGCGCGTGCCTGTAATCCCAGCTACTCAGGAGGCTGAGGCAGGAGAATTGCCTGAACCCAGGGGGCGGAGGTTGCAGTGAGCCGAGATTGCGCCATTGCACTCCAGCCTGGGTAACAAGAGCGAAACTCCGTCTCAAAAAAAAAAAAAAAAAAAAAAAAAAAAAAAAAAAAAAATCACAGGGTTTAGTTACAAGTTATTGTACTGTATTTCTCTGTTTAAAAATAGTTGTTCCAGAGATGATTTATGTCTAAGATATAAAGTGAAATGGAATAGGTGATTTTGAAGGAAAAACATTTGTTTTTAAGAACTAGACTAAAATAAAACAAAAAGAGAAGACAAGATAGTGAGGAAAAAAAAGTCTAAACTTTTTTTTTTTAAGGTTTAAAAAATAGTAACTTGCAACACTCTTACCTAGGGACCCAGCCAGTAGCTTCTGCTATGTGTGTCTGAGTAACCATTGCTGGTGCAGGGGTATATGGACTCCCAATCAGAACACTTCCTGAACTGGTAAGTCTCTGTGGTGTGCTTATAATCTGTAAAGTTAGGAACAAAGAATATAATATTCTTAATTATTAAGAAAAGCCTACAGGTAGAAAATAACGTTGATTGCTAACCTACATATGAGGAAAGCTTGCTGCCTAAAAGGCACTTAATGTCGGTCATCTAAAAATATAAGCAACACCTCTGATGAACTTATATCCTAGGCTCTTAAAGAACAAGTATCCTGAATACTGACATGAGGTCATAAAAACAGCAAATGAGTGGCAATTTGGAAGGATTAAGCAAAGAACTGACAATGCTTTCAAAATAGAAAAATGAAAAGTTTTCTTTGAAACTGAGGAAATAAATTGCAGTATAGCTTGATTTACTAGAACCACAATAACAGCAAATCAGACTTCCACAGTCCATCATACAGTATACACAAAGATACTATCCAGCTTGGATTATTATATAGATGTAATTTGATCCATTTTTAAGAGTATTGGGCTGGGTGCAGTGGCTCTTGCCTATAATCCCAGCACTTTGGGAGGACCAGACGGGTGGATCATCTGAGGTCAGGAGTTCAAGACCAGCCTGGCCAACATGGTAAAACTCTGTCTTTACTAAATATACAAAATTAGCTGGGCGTGGTGGTACACGCCTGTAATCCCAGCTACACAGGAGGCTGAGGCAGGATAACTGCTTGAACCCGGGAGGCAGAGGTTACAATGAGCCAAGATCACGCCATCACACTCCAGCCTGGGCAAAAAAAGCAAAACTCTGTCTCAAACAAACGAACAAAAAAAAGAGTATTTCATGTTATTAAATACTCTTTAAAATAAGACCATGAAACATTCTGCCATGTGGATTTATTATTCCCTACTAGATACATACGGGTTTTTAATTATTTACTATTATAAAGAATGCTGTGATAAACATTTTTGTACAAAGACCTTGCCCTTAATTTCTATTTCCTAAGGATAGACTCCAGAAAGGGGATTAATGGAATCCCTAAAGACTTTTTTAAAAGGTACCTTATATGTGTTACCAATTGCTTTCCAGGTCTTAAAATTTTCACGGGTTTAAAAAAAAAAAACAAAAAACATGTTTTTTCCAAAGACATTTATAGTAATTAACATTAAAAAACTAGCAGCCCAGTAATAACTTCAGAAGTATTTTCATGTTAAAAAAAAAAAAAATAGGAAGAGGCATGCTCCAGTGAATGGGGATATTAATAAAAAATGATTGGCTCCTATGTGGATAATTGTTGAAGCAACTGCTGGGCATATAGTTCTATTTTTGTAAGTTTTGAAAGTATTCATGATAGTAAGTTTTAAGTCCCAATTAAGAGAGAAAAATACCTATAGGGATTATAATTGTTAGTAAGTCCTCAAATAAGAGAAATAGTTCTATTTCCCTACTGCCTATGCAAGACAAAATGCTAATTAATTTTTATCTCCCTGACCAAATGAAACCTGTTTCTGCTGCCAGGGTGAATCATTAAGTTCATTGCTAACTTGTTCCATACATAACCAAAGAGAAGAATTCATAAGCATTTCAAGCCCTCCATTTGCATTTGAAGGAAAGAGTCAAACAATAACCTCTGTAGTATAAAAATATTTCAGACCCAGTTATTAAAGTCTAGTCAATATTTATTCATTTATCAAGTATTTAACAACTTTAGTTAGCTTCTGTTTATGTTTTGACATTATGTTAGTTTGGGGCTAGGAAGATGTTAGTACCTACAAATATTTATGAAATAGCTTTAATAAGTTCATTCTATAGTTTGAAAAAATAAAAACAAAAGATACTAATTCTGACAGATGTCTGGAGAGTTCTGATTATGTCCGATACACCAAGGATATTAAATAAGGCACTCAGAAGTTTTCCTAGTGAGAAAACATAAAGTCAGACAATGTGTCTGTACCTCTTATCAAATTCTGCCTTGCATTCCAAGTATGCTTGCACTTCCCATTCCACATGTCTGGACCCGCATCCCCACTTTCATTTCAGTGCAGGATCTTTAGGGGTGGAGAGTATCTTGCTAAACTAAGTTCTTTGCAGGGTTTAACATAATGGCAGGAAGCTCATAGGAAAGGCACAATAAATATTTACTGTCGGGATAAAATACTCAACTTTTAAAATAATAGGGGAAAAAAGGACCTTCATTTACTGATATGCTAAAAGGATTATATAAACTCCACTAAAAAAAATAGAAAGCATTGTTTCCACCAATCACTACATCACATTCTCTATCATGCCAACCTTGGGTATAGACAGCTTATGAAGAAAAATGTGAGTTATCTGATTAGCCTCCGGTCGACTCTATTCCTTGAACCGGAGTATCTACAAAGCTATTCTAAGCATTCCAATTTACCCTTGAAACAGATTGTACTACTCCTGCACTATTATTACTAAGGAGATCTTATTCTATATGGTATTAGCAGCCTACATGCTTGGTTTTGCTGATTTACAGGGCTTTGTAGAAAAAAAAAAAAAAGGAAGAAGCTGGGCACAGTGGCTCACACCTGTAATCCTAGCACTTTGGGAGGCAGAGACAGGTGGATCATTTGAGGTCAGGAGTTCAAGACCAGCCTGGCCAACCTGGTGAGACCCTGTCTCTACTAAAAATACAAAAATTAGTGGGGTGTGGGGGTAAGTGCCTATAATCCCAGCTACTCTGGAGGCTGAGGCAGGAGAATCACTTGAACCCAGGAGGCAGAGGAGGAGGTTTTAGTAAGCCAAGATCATGCCACTGCACTCCAGCCTGGGCAACAGATAGAGACTCCACCTCAAAGAAAAAAAAAAAAAAAAAAAAAAAAGGAAAGAAAAAAAGAAAGGGGGAAGGGAAACAGGACATAGAGAAAAACTCTCTATCCTTATGAAAATGACTTTGAAAGTCAATTCTAGTTTACATTTTCTTGTTTTCCCCCTTCCTCATTGTCAGATTGTTAGCTAATATTCTTTGCTGATCGGAGAGTGATTAGCAACACTCTGCTCCCTTCCCTTAGCACAGGGCCTGGTACATAGCAATTCCTTAATAAACATTCCCTGCATGAACAAACTGGAGAGACGACACACTTGAATTGAAAAGATAAAGTCAAAAAGCTTATGAGATGCTATAAGTTCCTAAACTAGGATAATGAGAGTGAAACGTAAGAAATAAAACAAAAGGAAAGCCAGTGAAACTTGAACACCCACAGAATATAAGAAAATTGGTTTATAGGGTGATGAGCCAGTCATGCTTTCCAACCCTGCACCTAATGTTGAAATCCCAGGCCAGGTGCGGTGGCTCACTCCTGTAATCCCAGCCAGCACTTTGGGAGGCTGAGGCAGGAGTTCGACCAGCCTGGCCAACATAGTGAAACCCCATCTCTACTAAAACTATTAAAAAATTAGCTGAGTATTGTGACAAACACCTGTAATCCCAGCTATCCAGGAAGCTGAGGCAGAAGAATCACCTGAACCCAGGAAGTGGAGGTTGCAGTGAGCTGAGATTGTGCCACTGCACTGCAGCCTGGGTGACAGAGTGAGACTCCATCTCAAAAAAAAAAAGCCCAAACTAAAGTATTAAAGTTGGAGGTAAAAACATACTTTTAATATTCACTTGATACAATAAGGAAAATGGAGTTTTAAATATCAGAGTCCCCCTATCAAAAATCCAGACATTTTTTTTTCTTTAATTACTGCAAATCCTACATTCCAATCCAGACAGCCTTAATTTAAATGTTATCATGTGGTTTCTCTGACAATAGAATTAGTTAGGCTGGGAAAATCACATAGCAATTAAACATTATTCTGAACATTTTCCTGCCCTCAGTCAACGTATTTTATGTACTACTGCCATCTACAGTTAAAAAAGCCAACAGAGCATATGTATTCTAAAGGGAAAAATTTACAAAATTATAAAGTGGTATATTAAGAGATTTCACTATTTGATGGAATTTTGGTTTTCACTGTAAGAAGCATACAGTGTTTACTCTTCTAAAATAATACAGCCATGATATTATCTTATACAGTTGACCCTTGAACAACATGGGATTGAACTAGGCAGGTCCACTTATACATGGATTTTCTTCCACTTCTGCCACCCCTGAGTCAGCCAGACCAACTCCTCCTTTTTCTCCTCCTCAGCCTACTCAATATGAAGACATCGAGGATGAAGACCTTTATGATGGTTCACTTCCACTTATAAATGTATTTCCCTAATGATCTTCTTAGTAATATTTTTCTAGCTTACTTTAAGAATACAGTATATAATATATATTAACATACAAAATAACAAATATAACATAAAACATGTTATTTGACTTTGTATTATAGTAAGGCTTCTAATCAATAATAAGGTATTAATAGTTAAATTTTGGAGAAATCAAAAGTTATATATGGATTTCTGACTGCACAGGGGCTGTGCCCTTATCTCCTGCATTGTTCAAAGGTCAACTGTATATATAATCATAAGATTCATAACTTATACAACCTTAAGAGAACCTGTAAGAAAAGGGCAAGTATTTCAAACTAAAATAGGTACCACTAAACTAGTTTCCATAACCACAAAAAACAAATGAAAACTTTTCATGGGGCCTTTTGAAATTCCTATCTACCATTAAGATTTAGCTTCCAAAAGACATGTAAAGTTAAAAGGGCAAGTAGAAAAAGAAGGCTAAGAAGTAAATGGATGAGATTTTATCCAATAATTCTTTAACTAAACAAAAACTTTAAAAAAAAATCATGGATGAGGGAGTTAGGAGAACCAATAAATGGCTCTGAGTGTCTTAGTCCATTCAGGCTACTCTGACACACCACCTTAAATTGAGTAATTAATTACTTTTTTTTAAAGTCTTCTGCAAGGAATATAAAACTTGGCAATTTACAAATCACAGAAACTTATCGCTCACTGTTCTGGAGGCTGCTGAGAGGTCCAAACTTAAAGCGCTGGCAGATTCAGTGCCTGGTGAGGGCTTATTCACTCCTTCAAAGATGATGCCTTCTGGTTGCATCCTAATAGCAGAAAAGGTCCAGGGAGCTCCCTTCAACCTCTTTTATAAGGGCACTAATTCCACTCATGAGGGTGAAGCCCTCATGACTTCATCATTTCCCAAAAGGCCCCGCCTCTTAATACCACCATAGTAGGGATTAGGTTTCAACATGAGTTTTGGAGGAACACATTCAGACCAGAGCATCAGTTCCTGGCCCTCTAAAATTCATGTCTATTTCACAGGCAAAATGCATTCATTTCATGCCAATAGCCTTACAAGTCTTAACTCCTTCCCAAAATCAGATATGGGTAAGACTCAAAGGTGCAATTCATCCTGAGGCAAATTCCCCTCTAGCTGTTAGCCTGTGAAATCCAACCTGTTTCCAAAATACAATGAGGGGACAGACACAGAACAGACATTCCCATTCCAAAAAGAAGAAAATAGAAAAGAAGAAAGGGATAATAGGCCCCAACCAATCCAAAACCCAACAGGGCAAACATTAACTTTTAAGGCTTCACAATAATCTTTGACTTGATATCCTGCCTTCTGGACACACGGGGCAGGAGTTGGGCCCTGAGGTACCAGAAGCCCCCACCCCCATGACTTTATTGGGGACAGCCCATGCTGCAGTTCTCCTGGGTTGGGTCTGCATGTGGCTCTCCCAGGCTGGAGTTGCATGCTGGAAGCTCTAGTAGACTAGGGCCTCAGGGAGTGACCCTGCCCCGCTCAGCTCAGCTCCACTAAGCTTTGCCCTAGTGAGGGTTCCTAGTGGTGGCCTCACCTCTGTAGTAATTCTCTGCCAGGATCTGCTAAGGCTCTCCAGGGCATCTTTTGAAATCTAGGTGGAAGTTATCATACCCTGCAGCTTGTGCACTCTACACCTGTTGGAGATGGCATCACTCAGAAACTGCCAAGGTTCACCACCTATGCCCTCTAGAGGAGCAGTCACTGTGACCTGCACTATACCTGGGCCTACTGGAGCCACACCTGGAATGGCTAAGGAGCACTGTGCCAAAATTTGGGGAGAAGACTTGACACAGTGCCAGGCAGGGATTACCAGTGTTCCATTAGCGCCTGAAGCCCCTCTTTGATAGTTCTGTCCCCCATGCCTTGGTACTCTGGGCCTGTGATGGGGGCAAGGGGCAGCACTGGTAATCACTGAATGCTGTGGGTTTATTCTTCCACTGTTTTGAAGAAAGCACCAAGCTTCCACCCATCCACGTTAATCTCCTTATCCAAAGGTGATTTTGCCACCCTTTTGGTGTTCTCTCTAGAACATATGCCTTTTTATTCTTTACATGACCAAGCTGAGACTTTCCCAAATCTTCACTTTTGATTATAAATTATATCTTTAATTCATTTCTCTCTTCTCACATTTTACTATAAAGAGCCAAGAGAAGCCATGTTGATCCCTAAACACTTTGCTTAGAAATTTCTTTGGCCAATTATCCAATTTCACTGCTTCTAAGTTCCTCCTTCCTTAGAACAGGAAAACAATACACTCAAGTCCCTTGCCACTTTTTTTGTGGTTGTTTGGTTGTTTTATTTTATTTTTTTGAGACAGAGTCTCACTCTGTCAATCAGGCTACTACAGCCTTGAAATCTTGGGCCCAAGTGATCCTCTCTCCTTGGTCTCCCAAGTGGCTAGGACTATAGGTGCGGACATGCTTGGCTTTTTTTTTTTTTGAGACAAAGTCTCACTCTGTTGCTCAGGCTAGAGTGCAGTGGTGCAATCTCTGCTCACCACAACCTCTGCTTCCTGGGTTCAAATGATCCTCCTGCCTCAGCCTCCTAAATAGGCACCTGCCACCATGTCCGGCTCATTTTTGTATTTTTAGTAGAGATGGGGTTTCACCATGTTGGCCAGGCTGGTCTCAAACTCCTGACCTCAAGTGATCCACCAGCCTTGGCCTCCCAAAATGCTGAGATTGTAGGCATTAGCCACTGCACCCAGCCTACCTAATTTTTTAAGTTGTTTTTTTTTAGTAGAGATGAAGTCTCACTATGTTGCCCAGGCTGGTCTGAAACTCCTGGGCTCAAGAGATCCTCTTGCCTTGGCCTCACAAAATGTTGGGATTACAGAAATCAGCCACTGTGCCCAGCCTTTTGCTGTTCTGTAACAAAGATGGCCTTGCCTCCAGTTTCCAATAACATGTCCCTCACTCCTGTCTAAGACCTCATTACAATGGCTTTTACCATCCATATTTGTGCCAACATTCTCTTCACGACCACTAAGGTAATCACTAATTAGGAGTGAGGCTTTCTCTATAGCTCTCCTCTTCTGATTCCTCACCAGAATCACCCTTAATGGTCCACTCATCTCAAGAGGCTTTTTTCAGCCTGTTCCTCTGAACTCTTCCAGCTTCTGCCCATTACCCAGTTCAAAGCCACTTCTACAGTTGTAGGTGTTTGTCATGGCAGCACCCCAGTTCTTGGTACTAATTTTTGTCTTAGTCTCCTATAACAAAATACCTTAGCATGGGTAATTTATAAATGATAGAAATGTATTTCTTGCAGTTCTGGTGGCTGGGAAGTCCAAGATCAAGGCACCAGCAAATTTAGTGTCTAGGGAAGGTTCACTCTCTGCTTCATAGATGGTGCCTTCTTATAGTGTCCGCACTACAAGAAGTGGGGCAGAGCGGGGGCAAAGAGCTCCCTTCAACTTCTTTATAAAGTCACTAATCCCATCTATGAGAATGAAGCCCTCGTAGCTTAATCACTTCACCCCTTAACACCACCACAATGGGGACTGAGCTTCAACATGAATTTGGAGGGACACACTCAGGAGACAGTCATGGGGTCTTATAACAATTAGGAAGCCAAAGAGGAAATTATGATTCTTGCCCAAGAACTCAGAACTGAAAAAAGAACCTTAGAAGTAGGGGATAAATTAAGGACTTGGAATGACCCGGTTGAAGGTAGAACTCCAAATCTCTTCTCCTTCTTATGACCTTTGTTTTGTGGATCCTGAGATTTACAGTAACTGAGTTGATACCACACATCACTACTTATTATTAACAGAACTGGATGTGTAAGAGATAGTTCAAACTGACAACGGGAGAAAAATTATATATGCTTTCAAAGGAGAAATTCAAATCTGGGGTATAGCAGCATTAAACAAACAAAAAATAAGGGAAAATAATCTCTCAAAATATAAGAGTTCTGTAAGGGCAAGACTCATACAGGCTTGAGTATATTTAATTTTGGTGCTTATATAATTACATTTCAAAATGCAGACTTTTAAAAGTTGGGTGTTTTATCTCATTTCACCTATAGTAGTGGCTGGGGAGAGGCAAATGCTTAGCAAATGTCTGAAAATATAACCTGAGCTACCTTAAAATGAGGGCTCTTATTTGAGCTTAAACCTCTATGAGGTTTAGTGCTAGATTATATTCTTCACATACTTACAGTAAATTGTGTTGTATCTTTAGCTTGATTTCTGCAGATGATAAACAGTTCTCAACTAACCAAGGAAAATGTCATGTCTAGAATGTGTCCTAAAGACTTTCTGAAACCATTAAGTATGTTAAAAGATATTTTTGTCTAAATAACTTTGCATTTAACATAGTCCACGGTGCTGTTGTACATTATGGGCAAAATTTATCTGCACTGCTCTATAGATGAAAAGAAGACACTGACAATGAAGAGTTATTGCTTAGATGTTTAAGTACTTTTACTAATGGTGGGTGAGGCCATTTAAATTAGACATAGTTTCAGAGTAGGTGAATGCAATCTTATTTATAAATAAGTATTCTGAAAGTGCTACACACTTTAAGCTCTAGCATAATTAACAAATGCCCTTAGAGAAACAGCTGCTTTCCAGTTTTCATTCACTATCTCTACTGCTAAAGATTAAAATGAATTGGTATATTGTTTTTTCCCCAAAAGTCTTTAATGGAAGGAGTTTTAAATTGCTCCAGATGTAGATTAACTATTGGGTCACAGATTCCATTTATGTGAGAATACATAGTTTAGGGTAGTAAAGGTTATTTTATAAGAAAAATAAAAAAGGAGGGGGACATAAAGTCTAATACATTTCAAATCAACTTAACAACTAAATACAAGAGAAATCTCACAGAGAGCAAAAACCTTAATACTACACATCCAGAATCCACAGATTCAAATATGTGAAAATTAAATATTAAGAGAGCACAATGCCTTTCTCTTACTCAAGCTCAAGACTTGACCAGATATATTCAGACAAAAACAAAATGTTTTTTAAAAGTAACTCGGGTAACTAAAATTAATTAGAATATTTATTTATTTATTTATTTATTTAAGATAGGGCCTTGCTTCATCAGGCTGGAGTGCAGTTGCGCAAACACGGCTCACTGCAGCCTTGACCTCCTGGGCTGAAGCAATCCTCCCCGCTCCATCCCCCAGGCAGCTGGGACTTCAGGCATGCATTGCAGTGCCCAGCTGTTTTTTGTAGAGACAGGGTTTCACCATGTTGCCCAGGCTGGTCTTGAACTCTTGGGCTCAAGTGATCCACCTGCCTCGGCCTCCCAAAGTGTTGGCATTACAGGCGTGAGCCACCTACTGTATCCGGCTTAACTAGAATATCTGATCAAACGCCTTTAAATTAGTCTTAGCTAAACAAAGTTTCAATTCTAAGATTTAATAATTTTCTTACCATTTGGGGTCCAACATTCACATTGATTGGTCCTAAGGTTTTTGGTAAAATCTTTGTAGGTGAGTTGGTATTGGAAACTGGAAATGCAACAAATGAAATGTTGCCTGAAATGATATCAAAACATTAAGTTAGTATTGTGCATTACCAAGGTCATTTTCTAGCTACAGACATCCATGATCCTAATCCATTTTGTTGAAGTAATTTATAATTACCTTAGTAAGCATATAATAAACACAATACACCTTACTGAAAAGCCATATGAACGATTGCTTTGTTGTAACAAATACAATTAATTTGGCTACATAACTAATCTTACTTAGGTTTTACTGAAAATCTATAAATAGTTCCAATTAATTGACAACTATGAAACTTTCAGTTGATCTTTTAAAGGAAAAAGTATTTACAGAATATATAATCCAAATCAGTTTATATCAGAATTGAGAAAAGATCTTTAATAGACATGATAGAACAAATAAAATGTATGAAACATTAACAAGAAAAGTAAAATAAACATTCAGATTTCTTTTTAGTACAAAATATTGAGACTAAAAGCTAACATATTTTCAAATTGTCAAATTAGTAATGATTTGGGGTTTTATAATACTAGATAAACATGGTGCTAACTAGTTATTAATACTAGAAACAGTGAGATCTGCTCCGTGTTTTCAAGTGATTTCAGTACTTTAAATTTCAAATTAACATAGCAAACTCCTACCAAGAAAACTCCCCTCAAAAGAAAAGCCAACCTATTTTTTTCTGAACTATAACATCAACTACTTAATTCCCCTGACAAACTTCAGCTTATCAATGTTTCTCTTAGAAGATAACAGTGTAACAAAATATATCCAAGGAGATCATCCAGGAAGTATGTGAAAGAAGGCCAACCCTAAAACCCTGGGGACAACCAACATTTAAGGGTAGGATGACAGACATTTCCTTCTTAGTTGCCTTCCTCAGATGGCCCGCATCTTACAAAACTTGACCATGCTGCCTTACTAAATTTTTTTTTTTTTTTTTTTTTTTTTTGAGATGGGGTCTCCCTCTGACACCCAGGCTAGAGGGCAGTGATGAAATGATGGGTTACTACAGCCTCAAACTCCAGGGCTCAAGTGATTCTCCCACCTCAGCCTCCAAAGTGGCTGACACCACAGGCATGTGTCACCACACCCAGCTAATTTTTTTATTTTGTAGAGATGGGGTCTTGCCATGTTGCCCGGCCTCGACTCAAACTTCTGGGCTTCAAGTAGTCCTCCCTGTCAGCTTCCCAAAGTGCTAGGTGTTAAAGGCTTGTGGCAGGCATGGTGGCTCACACCTGTAATCTCAGCACTTTGGGAGGCTGAGGTGGGCAGATCACGAGGTCTGAAGTTCAATACTAGCCTGACCAACATGGTGAAAACCTGTCTCTACTAAAAATACAAAAATCAGCCAGGCATGGTGGTACCCGCCTACAGTCCCAGCCATTCAGGAGGCTGAAGCAGAAGAATCGCATGAACCCGGGTGGTGGAGGTTGCAGTAAGCTGAGACCGGGCTGGGCCACTGCACTCCAGCCTGGGTGAAAAAGGGAGAATCCATCTAAAAAATAAACAAGCAAAAAAATGCTTGAGCCACTGCACCGGCCTAAATAACATTTTTCTTTTTCTTTTCATTTCTTTTGAGATGGAGTCTCGCTCTGTCACTCAGCTGGAGTGCAGTGGCATATCTCAGCTCATTGCAACCTCCACATCCCGGGTTCAAGCTGACTTCCCAAGTATTTGGGATTATAGGCACCCATCATCATGCCCAGCTAAATTTTTGTATTTTTAGTAAAGACAGGGGTTCATCGTGTTGGCCAGGCTGGTCTCAAATCCTGACCTCAGGTGATCTGCCCACCTTGGCCTCCCAAAGTATTGGGATTACAGGCGTGAGCCACCGCACCCGGCCCTAAATGACTTCTTTCATCTCTGCTCTGTGCTTTCTGCCTCTTCAGGGATTTCACCCATCAATTATCTATTCTGTCTCCTGAATTTTCAACTATTCCATCGGCCCTTTCCCTTCAGTTTTTCTCTCTGCCCAATTGGCACTATAGAGTTCATTTTCCCCCTAAATACACATTTAAAAATCAAATTATCTTTCTTGTACCCATTCAGCAAGTCCTAGTACCCAAATCTGCTTCTCCTTCATGTTCTCACTCTTGATATATAACTGAGCCTTCCTATATGATCATCGAATCCACCCAGTGATCCAGTCTAGAAATGATCTTCATTCCATCCCCTCCTTCCTCATTCAACTGACCACCATATTTGTTATTCCTTATTCCAGTTCCTTTATGCCAGCAGTCCCCAACCATTTTGGCACCAGAGGCTGGTTTCGTGGAAGACAGTTTTTCCACAGATCCGGGTGGGGGAAGGAATGGTATTGGAATGATTCAAGCACCTTACATTTATAGTACACTTTATTTCTATTATTAACATTTTAGTATGAAATAATTATACAAATCATCATAATCTGGAATCAGTGGGAGCCTTGGGCTTGTTTTCCTGCTACTAGACAGTTCCCTCTGGAAGTGATGGGAGACAATAACAGACCATCAGGCATTAGCTTCTCATAAGGAGTGTGCAAGCTAGATCCCTTACACGCGAAGTTCACAATAGGGTTTGTGCTCCTATGATAATCTAATGCTGCTGGCTCATCTGACAAGAGGTGGAGCTCAGGTGGTAATGTGAGCCAATGCAAGCCACAGAGAACAGCTGTAAATACAGATGAAGCTTTGCTCACTCACTGGTTCCCCTGCCTACCACTCACCTCCTGCTGTGTGACCCAGTTCCTTATAGGCCATGGACTGGTACCTGGTAGCTGATTAGGGACCCCTATTTTATGCTGCTGGTTCTTGTTTAATTTGCAACTTTATATCTGGTTTGAATACAGGTACCCTCTAACTCAGTGATTCACAATACTGGCTGTTCAACACAATTACCTGGGAAGTGATAATTCTAATGCCTATGTTCCAATTCTAGAGCTGCTGATATAATTGATCTGACATAAACCCGGGCACTGGGCCATTACAAGTTCTCCAGACAGTTCCAGTGTGCAGCCAAGGCTGAGCACCACTGCTCTTAGTAGATATCCTACCTCTAACAGCTTTCCTAGCCACTCCATGCATCCGTAACAAACCAGTCTTTCAACTGGCAAAACTGTTCCGAACACTCCCCCAATTAGGGTTTGTAAGGATGCCACAACACTTCCTAAATGCCTCTCAGACTCCTCAACATAGTACAAAAGCTCGAAGTAGAGATCTCACCCTGCCTCCTTTCCCAGCTTCATCTTCAGCTGCTCCCTCCACATACACCCCAGAATCCAACCACATTAAATATTTTACATTTCCAGAGAGGCACCAATTCAACCACCTGGCTTCAGCACACACCTTTCCTTCTGCTGAGAAGACCCTTCTCTACTGAGCCAACTCCTACCTACGAGCACTTCAAAATGGATAGATTCCATACAATTTTCTGAGCAATTATTATGTCCCCAGAGTCTTTTCCAGAGGTTTCCTATATATATACATACACACATATATACACACACACAAATTTTATGTGTGTATGTATGTATGTATGTACATATGTGTACTTTTTTCCTCATCGATGCTTAAGACAACAGTGTGAAATAGATTATTAGTGACTCTATTTTATACATTAAGAAATTGAGATTGAGATTAAATACAAGGTCCCATAGCTAGTGAAGCCGACGGCTCCACCTCCAAGGTCTCTGCTCTATGCAACTCCTTCTCCTTAAAAGCTGTCCCATCCCCTGTGGCTTAAATCCTGGATATTCCTCTTATGGCTTCTCATAAAACCTGTTATTACTTACTTGTAACTCTATTATAAATGGGATACGTCTCTCAGCTTTGTATCCTAGCACCTAGTTTAGTTGTTGGCACAAAACAGGTGCACAAACTATAAAAACTGATCAGCAAAGATTGAAATTATTACTTTTCCTAATCTGGATGCCAAACTTCCTGTAATAAAGCTTAAATTACAGCCCTTTTTATTTTTCCAACCAAGATCATAACTCATACTGAGTTTGAAATCAATTTAAAGAGCAGGTCCTTTGTTTATTTTGCTTTTAACGCGACTGAACTGGTATTATCAAATAAAGTTTCCCTATCTTGTAATTGTGCAACTAATTTTCTTAAAACATAAAATGTGGCCGGGCACAGTGGCTCATTCCTGTATTACCTGCACTTTGGGAAGCAGGGTGGATCACCTGAGGTCAGGAGTTTGAGACAAGCCTGGCCAACATGTCTCTACTAAAAACACAAAAATTAGCTGGGCGTGGTGATGCACGCCTGTGATACCAGCTAGTTGGGAGGCTGAGGTACTAGAATTGCTTGAACCCGGGAGGCGGAGGTTGCAGAGAGCCGATACCGTGCCACTGCACTCCGGTCTGGGCAACAGAGCAAGACTTTGTCTTATAAAGAAAAAAGAAATTGACAGAACAAAAATTACAGTCCAGAAATTATTTCACTTATATATGAAAATTTTGTACATGATAAAGGCAGTACTTCAAACCAATGATGTTGAGACAAGAGACTGTCCATTTTGATAAAAGAAATTTTAGATTTCAATTTCTCACATTGAACAAAAATAAATTTCAGAAAAATCAAATATTTAAACATAAAAATTAAAACTTTATAAAAGCATTAGAAGAAAAAAAAACAGTATTTTTATAATCTGGGAATGAGGAAGGCCCTTGTCACAATGTTACAGAATTTAGATATCTTAAGTGAAAAGACTGATAGAGCTGACTATTTGAAAAATCAGCCAGGTGCGGTGGCTCAAGCCTGTAGTCCCAGCACTTTGGGAGGCCGAGGAGGGTGGATCACGAGGTCAAGAGATCAAGACCATCCTGGTCAACATGGTGAAACCCCGTCTCTACTAAAAATACAAAAAATGAGCTGGGCATGGTGGTGCGTGCCTGCAATCCCAGCTACTCAGGAGGCTGAGGCAGAATTGCCTGAACCCAGGAGGCGGAGGTTGCAGTGAGCCGAGATCGCGCCATTGCACTCCAGCCTGGGTAACAAGAGCGAAACTCTGTCTCAAAAAAAAAAAAAAAAAAAAAAAAAGAA